TACATTTAAGGAAAAAAAAAAAGAAACATCTTTCAACAATGACAGGTGCTGAAACTGACTTAAACTCTCCAGATTTTCCCATTGCAATAAATACAGTTAGTATATTGATTGGACATTGCAGGCAAATACACAAACACATTTACCATTCATGTGACTATCAGACTTGTGTGTGTGTGTGTATTAGTGATGTCCATGACAGGATGTCCCTCTCTCCTGTCTGAACTCTTTCCTCCCTGGAACGTGTGCAGAGTGGACGTCTTTGCGCAGCAGGGCATGCTCACTTCTTCTCTGGCTTGTCATTGTACTCCAGGAAGAAGTCGTTGCAGGCCACAGTGAGAGCTCCGACCAGTATGATGAACTCAGTGAAATCTACCTCCCCGTCGTTGTTGGAATCCAGGTCTCCCATGACCTTATCCACTGCCTCCTTATCCTGGGCGTTCTGCATGTGGGGGGGATAGAAAGTACAGATATGTAGGCTGGATCTATTTTATATTCGTGCAGCTGTGCGTCTTGTATCCCTAAGGATCTCCTTACCCCCAGGTAGTTGCCGAGCTCTGTAGTAAGCATCTCTTTGAGCTCAGCCTTGCTCAGTGTATATTTGTCCCCCTCGTTTCCAGAGTACTTATGGAAGGTCTGTATCATAAGCTGCATGGCGTTCTCCAGGGTGGAGGCATTCTCTGAGTTGGGCAAAGACATTCTGGAGAAGGATAGAATAAGAGGAAGGGTGGGAGGAGGTGAGAGCAAGGGTAGTCCGTGTCAGTGCTCCCTGGAGCATGGAGGGCACGTTAAAGTCTCTCCCGGTTGTGCTCTCTTGCACATACACTCTCTTTTTTAGACTCCCTGCCAGGCAGACAGATGCATGGAGAAATAAACATAGAACATCACATACTACAATACTATCAGCAAGATAGCTACAAAATGATCTTCTATGAGGTGCCAGGAGAGGTCAGAAACCCTGTGCAGCCCCTGGAGTTAACTTTGCTCTGACTGTTTCCTCATGAGGAGTGTTTCCTCTCTGCCAGTTGCCCCCGATAAGATTTTGCTTCAGATTAAACTGATCCTCAATCTGTTTGTTGCTTTGCCCTGGCAAGAGGACCACTGGGAGCCGGGACGCAGTCAGCAGCCGGACATGTGAGCCAGCTGATAAGAGTGAAACTCTAAGCTGGTAAAACAGCCAAACCAGTGGAGGAGATGTAACCAGGACACACAGAGGCAACCCGATCCGGCTTTTACTTTAGCTCCACCGGATGGCAGAAAAAAACGGAGACAGGTGTAAGTCTTTGCCTTTCTTGAACCTACATCACCTCTGAACTGTGAAGACTTTTCCTAACTGTCAGTCACATCTTACATCAGTTTCTCCTTGTCGTTTCCACCGTGTTTCTGCTTCTCATGAATCAGGGGCATGAAGTCTCATCAGGAAGACATTTTTGGCAAGCTCAAGTCAAGATAAATTAAGTTTCCACAAGTTATTAGTGAATAAAGAGAAAGGTCTTTCTGCCTTTGCAGCTGATATGCACAAAACCCACCTACAGACAGCATCAAACATTAGTTGCACCCTTAAATATCTACATCTACAAGTAAAAATCTTCTGTCCTCTACATTCATTCTTACCTGAGTGGATGACAAGTGTCGGCCTGCTGGTCAGGTGCAAAAAGAGGAGGCGAGAGCGACTGATGAGGAGGACGAGGAGGACAACGTCTTAAATACACCCCTCACTCCACCCATCCCACTTATCCCTTCCTCCCCTCTCCCTCCTTCCACCTGTTGCTCCTCTCCACCTTCCCACCCCCTCTTCTCCTCTCCTCCTTCTCTGTTTACGCATCAGACACCTGCTATCCTCTGAACACACGGAGATCCAACCGCCCCCCTCTGTCACAGATAACATACCCACAAACAACACTAATGAAGCTCTCCTGCAAGAGTTCAGTCAGGATGACTAATTTTTGCCTGCAGAAGTATAATTTATTCCTCATACCTTTTACAATTCACTCCTCACAGGCATGCTCACTCATAATTTCTTGGTGTCATCATCTGGAGCTGTCAGCTGAGATATGAGTGGATCAGCCTTCATTGCTAGCCTATCATATTATTCTTATTCTGCTTTGTGCACCCTTCACCTCCTCATCGCCACCTTATCTTTGCAGATTCATCAATTTCATCAGCTTCAGTCTCAACAGGGTCATCGGCCACCACCATTGCCACTGTCTGGGGGGGATTTGCCTTCCAGCTGCTCAGGGCAGACACCCCTCAATTACAAAATCTCCCTGTAGAGTCTAAGCTTTAAAGACTGTCACACCTCTGTCATCACACATTATCTGTTAATCTGTACACTTGTAATCTGCATTCAGCAACTGTCTTCACTTCATTCACCTGTTTCACCTGATTGAAATGGGGCTGAAATTACAGCATTAGGTAAATTGAAGTAACCATAATATGACCGCAAGGCGCACCGCAAATGTCGCGGGCTTGCTATTCTCAGATGTCAGTCTGAATGGAAGTCAATAGGGCTGCAATAAATAAACAGATATTAGATTGTACTCAGTTTTCTGCTGCAGATAAAAATGAAAGGAAATTGTTATTTCCAATATTCTTTTACTGAACAAATTCACCATTCACCTGAACACAAAAAACACCAATAAATACATTAATACACAAAAAAATTTTGAAAAAAGAATGATTACAAATTAGTGCAATTACTGATTCTCCCTGAGTGCAATGTCGCAGTCTTTTGCAATATATTTGTCATGCAAGTTGACATGGCATTGTGCAGCCCTAGACGTTCAGAAACCAGATGTAAATTTGACAGACATGAAATTAGCAACAGTCATACTTAGATGAGCTCAACACCAGGCCATTTACTGAGAACAATGAGTTGCCATGCAGTCAGAGATATAACTGACTATGTTACAGCTCTTGCTACTGTCACACTGGTTTATCCTTCTACCATGTTGTGCAACCATTTTGTACTTCATGGCAAAACAAAGGACGGGCTTAGAGGGAGTGCTTAAATAAACAGCCCATAGTAGCAGTGCGAAGATGAATAACGTGATAGCTCCTCAGTGTGTCTGGTTTGAAGCAGCGATGAGTGTTGGGGTATGTGCAGAGGTAGGATGTTTACCGGAGGAGGAGGAGGAGGAGGAGGAGGAGGGGAGGTGGGGGGGGGGGGGGGGGGGGGGGGGGGGGGGGGGGGGGGGGGGGGGGGGGGGGGGGGGGGGGGGGGGGGGGGGGGGGGGGGTCATGCCTGATACAGTATCCGAAGGATTAGTGTAGCAGTGATGAATGGAGCCATCACACCTGGCAGCCACACAGAGAAATCCCCATACAAAGACTTTGCAAAAACACACACAAAGGCAAACATGCTAATGCGAGGACACACACGCATGCACACTTTCACAAACACATTCATGATTTAAGCTCCAAAACACATCACGAGAAAGCAGTGGATTGCACTGAAAGCCAAAGTGCATGAATAGTAAACAGGGAGCAAAAAATAAATGACAGACACACGTATGAATGATAGAAAAGATCACACTTGTCAAAGCAAGCAACATGAACAAGCACTGCAAGATGTCATGAAAATGCATGTTTAATCTGAGGCCCTGTTTGTGTGTTGTCGCTGCGGTATATTGTGTCAGTGAGTGGGGGTAGCACAGGGTGTGTGCACACTTGCATGCACCATATGTGTGTATGTATAGTGTTGCAGAGTGGAGGACGATGCACAATAGGAAGCGTATACTGTATGCCAGGATCTGGTTGCAATAGTTGATGCATCTAAAGGCTGCTGAGTTTGAGTAGTCAGAGATGTCACAGCTATATTTAGCAAGTGTTGCTGGTAGCTGTGGAAGGAGCAGGTATCATTGCGGCGATGCCTGTGGGACAATGTCAAACCATATCAGGGAAACATCTGTAGACATGCAGTATTTTGTTGGGTTTCAAAGTAGTTTTTCTCTTTCTCCAAAACAAACAGACCAGTTGATTTAAACAAGTAAAAACACTGAAAAAAGCTGTTTCACGTTACAAATCAGTATTTCTCCAATACTGCCTCTAGCCCAGGACCTGCTAATGTGTGCTCTCCCTTTTTCCTGATAACTTAAGATCCAGACGCTCAAAGGGTTTTATTGGAAGCTGAATTATCCGCAGAGGTCTCTTCCTCTCCTTAATAAATGGACCCAGTGATTTAAACCAGTAAAACGCTGAAAAAAAGCAGCTTCACATTAAAAGTCAATGTTTTTGCGACACTATACGTCACAGGGGGATGCTAACTACAGAGAGATTGTAGAAACATGGCAGACTCTATGGACAAGGATTCTAAGGTAATGAAAATACACTGCTTTTTATTTTCAAGTGATTATAGACTGAAGAAAAGATACACTTACCTGCCACTTTATTAGGTACACCTGTTCAACTGTTCGTTAACGCAAATAGCTAATCAGCTAATCACATGGCAGCAACTCAATGCATTTAGGCATGTAGACATGGTCAAGATGACCTGCTGAAGTTCAAACCAACCATCGCTAGGGTTTACAGAGGATGGTCCCAAAAAGAGAAAATATCAAGTGAGTGGCAGTTCTCTGGGTGAAAATGCCTTGCTGATGCCAGAGGTCAGGGGAGAATGGCCATGGTTGCTTGCACATGACAATGGGTTCACTGTACTTCAATGGCCTCCACATTCACCAGATCTCAGTCCAATAGAGCACCTCTGGGATGTGGTGGAATAGGAGATTCACATCATGGATGTGCAGCTGACAAATCTGCAGCTACTGCGTGATGCTATCATGTCAATATGGACCATGTTTCAAGCACCTTGTTGAATCTATGCCACGAAGAATTAAGGCAGCTCTGAAAGCAAAATGGGTCCAACCAAGTGCTAGCAAGGTGTTCCTAATAAAGTGGCCAGTGATGGTATTTATTATATTCCAATTCTGCCAGTATAGCCTAATAAATCCTACAAATTGGAGCTCTAAGAAAGGTCAAACATCAATTGTAAACAACACACAACATGGTTTTATTATATAAAGCTTTTATTTTGAAAATACAGTAAGTATCTTTTGTATAATTGGTATAAAAAAAGACACTCCCAGCTTAGAGTCCTTCAATGTGTCCTTGACAGTGGAGATCAATACCGTGTAAGTGAAAGGAAGGTTGATCTGGACATACATTTAGAGCGTTATAGAACTGGCTGATTAACTAAAAAATGATGGAAATTATGGACTGTATGTATACATGATGGTTAGAGCATTTGGAAATGAGAAAAGATTAAAAAAAAAAGCAAAGCAAAAAAAAAAAAAGGGGTGGGGTTGGGGGTTGTTAATCTATGATGCATCTTGAGTAGCTCCAGTCTTGCTCTGACTGAGGGCATTGGCCAGGTAGCCAATCAGAGTGAGGTATTCCTGGAAGCTGACCTTTCCATCTTTGTTGGCATCCAGCCCCTGCTGCATCTCCTTAACGGCAGAAGAGCAGTTTGCATCCTGAACACAAAAGGAGAGACAGAATATGGTCACATTCTAATATACTGATGGATTATTCATAAACAGCAAATAGCTAAAAGTTACGCAGTTCCTTACCTGCATGAGGCCGCCAAGCTGGTTCTTTACCAGTTTCTGGAAGCCACCCCCGTCTAGGTTCTCCTTCCCCCTGGCTGAACTAAGAAATGTGGTCACCACTGTCTTAATGGCTGACTCCATATCTGCAGAGGGAGACAGAGAAGAACAAAAAATGGAAAATTGAGTGTTGGAAGTGGCAAGGAGAGATATGGCCATATCTTAGAAATTCAGGCGTCATGCCATTGGGTACAGTTCCAATGAATTTTTATCAATATGAGGCTATATTTACATTGGGTCTTGAAAGGCTTATTCCAGTTATTGAGCGCATCGGTGCAGAAGAGAGTACGCCGTAACCTTGTGAACAGCTGACTGATCAAGATTAGGGGTTCAATATCAACTCTGTGCCATCATATTATGTATTGTAATGTATGAAATTCAAGTTATTCCACAATGCATCACTTCATTTTTGCATGTGTGATGTAAAGTTATTAAAATAAAATGTGGTGAGTTCAGTTAAAACCACATCATTCTGCAAATATTATGATAGTGATCTGCAAAGCAAACGGGTCTGAGTCGCCATGTAAGCCAAAAATAACTTGTGCTATTCTTTGATGTGAGACGGAGCACGCCTTGAAATTGTATTCGAACTGGATGTGTTCAGATATGTCCCTTGAACATGTGAGAAAGGTGAGACACACAAGTGATGTCAGCATAGAGGAAGAGAAGGAAGAGGGAGCGGGTTGGGGGGCAGGGCCTGGAAGCTCTCCGAGGTAAACAGAGCGAGAGACGGAGGGAGGGAGTGATGGAAGGTTGAAGAGGAGGGGAGTCTCTGAGGTAAACACAATGGGAGCTGTGATCTCTGACAGTGGACATCTGATCCCCAGAAGCCAGCGGGAGGCCGCAGGTTCAGATTACTGCCTGCTGCCCGTCTGCTGCAGCGAACCTCCCCTCACACTGCGGGAATACACTGCATACTGTGCTCAAGTATGAACTGAAAAACATCACACGGCACCGATAGATTAAGCTGGCCTGAAACATCTAATGCCGCTGTTGTTGACAGGATCTCAGGGTGAGGCTAAATCCTCGGCTGAACATTTGAGACAAGCGGTTTTAAGGTTTCATTCCACTCACTGCTTATTTTACCTCGCAGGAAGGAAGAAATCAAGATGGAAACACATTATGCTTTAACTGGATGTTAAATATGTAACAAAACAATAGCTGCATCCCAAATCCATACCACATGCTAATCTTATTCACTCGTTTTTGAGTGTTGATGAACACTGCTGTAGGCGTTTTCACAGAAGACATGTGACATGTGACAGTAGTAAAAGCATGAGTGTACATAATAAAAATAATCATGGCTGAGTTCCATTTTGCTGCTTCATTTTCAGTGTAATGCTTGCTGACTCACTGCCAGACTGTCATGACTTCCTGAGACACTGTTAGTAATGTTATTAGCAACCACTTGTGCTTTTCCCACTATAACAAGTCAAAATGTCTTCCGTGAAAAAGGTCTGTCATTCCACAATGCAATGCATAAATGAAACAGAGGAGCTACTCACAGCTATATATGTATATAAAAAGTTGCAGGAAGAACATAAAGGACAAAAACACAAATTAAAAGTTCTGTATGCGACACTCAGAGCATTAATATGTGAGCAAACTATGTAAAGATCTAATGGAGTAATGAGCGGAGAATGAAGTCACGCTCCCTCTGTGTGTGTGTTGCAATCTGAGCTTTCCGGTTCTTTACTGTGGTAGCTGCTCCAGCCGCCGCCCCAAAGCACCGCTAGCTGCTATCAGTGCCTCCACCACCTCCATGGTGAGAGCCATGTGCAGACAATCCCAGTTCAGACTCTAAATCATAGATATGCTCCTTTAAAATGTTCTGCATTCTCCTTGTGAGGTGGAGAAGTGACAGAATTAAATGTAATCTAACAACTAATAAAGTGTTGTTAATGTGGGTCTGTGCTATTCCTCCACAATGCAGTGCTGTAAATTTTTATACTTGTTTGTATATTGTAATCAACTAGTATGTAGTATGGAAGTCGGACACACAACTACAGTTTGACTGCCATCCATCATCGCATGTGTTGCATCACTTCCTGTTTTTACAAAAATGTTGATTTCTTGTATAGAAACTCCTACATTATGACGATGACGCGATATACTGATAATGACGCTAACTTTGATATTTAAAAATGAAATATTGATGCCATGTTAATAGTACACACAGGATAATATCGTGTAAATAATCCAGCTTCTCTTAAATGATTTCGGTTTCTACCTGTTCTCACTCTGTCACCTTCCCCCAACGACATCTGAATGCTAGCTTTTTTTTCTAATTTTGTATGGATACCGTGATAATATCATTACCTAGTATATACTTTATATAACTGGTATGTACTTTGGCATTAAGACAGCTGCTGATTTTGTGTTAAATAACTGAAAAACAGACTGTAAAAATGACTTGATGCTGTTTCCATTGTCATATGGAACTCACATAACTGAACACCATGATGACTATAGAGAGTGTTAAGGCCGGTAACTGTGCAGCTATCCAGACATACTCCAGCCAGCACAGGTCTGTCTTTGGGTTTCTGCTCCCTTTTAGCTTCCTGTTGTCTCAACAAACAACATTTCCACAGCTCACAGAAAATTAAAGGCCTGAATAAATGCAGCAGTTACATGAGCAGAGTTGATAAGTATCGCAGCAGTGTGGTGCAGGCCTTGCTGTGGGGTTTCCACTGTGTATCGGAAACTACCAGGAGGCAGCGGTGGCCGCGGGATGGGTGATGATGACGGGTGCCTGTGGGGATGTTGTTGGAGTAACTGTAGATGGTGGTGAATCTCCCATCTGATACAAATGTCACACCTCAATGCTCACACTATGCAAAGGCTAAGATGTATGAATAGACAGACAAACAGATAGCAACACACACACACACACACACACACACACACACGCACATCTAAAGAAGGACAACACCAATTAGGACTTCTGTTGCATTAACCTAATTACTGGGTGAGTGAGAGCAGGCACCCAAACCCTGGATTCTGTTTCATGTCTCCCTGCCATGCCAGCACATGCACACACATGCACACAGAAGTGGACACACAAGTGAGCATCTGTCATCAGCATGCTGTTCATCATTATTTAATGGGTTACTATAATTGTCCCAACACCTTCCTAACACCATCTACAAGACGAGCAGCGGCAGCAGCAGCAGCAGCAGCAGCAGCAGCAGCAGCAGCAGCAGCACAGCGAGCAGGCAGACCAGTTTCAATGTATGTGTTTGTATCTGTACAGCCCATACATCAAAATGCCTGACAGGCCACCATCCATTAGCGTCTCTCCCGGGTGTAATGAGATGAACATGAAACCAAGATGGCTTCGGTCAGAACTGGAGACGTCAGGGCCACAGAATTACAAATGGGCAGAGAGGAACATGTAGTGAGGTCTGTGTGATAAGAGCAAGTGGTGGCCTGACTGGGTGTGTGTGTGTGTTTGTGTGTGCTGACTACAAACGAAGCGCTCCTACAGCCTCCTCTGCACATGTACTCCATTCTGATTCAGAGCCTGGAGATTATCATGACTCAAGCGTAATGAATGCTCGTGTGAGGCCCAGTGCGTTGTTTTATTTGTGTTACTGGGTCCTTTTTGTGGCATTTTACGGGAACTTTGCACTACGCATGCTAGTTCAGTGATTCACAAACTTTTGGGCCTTAAACATTTGTCTTCTTGTGACCAGTCGTCTCCAGTTGCATATGTCTACGGATTATAAGATGGTTAATGAAAGAGTGATATTGTTCCCTTTATTACATATATTTAGAGGCCTAAGGTTGCACAACTGTCCACTTATTTGGAAATGAAAATAGTGCGGATTAGAGGATCTATAAAAACATAAATCTACTTCCCCATCCTGTTTCTTACAGTCTCTCAGACGTATCATGCCACCCCTTAGGGAGTATGATCCACATATTGTAAACTTCTGCACAAGCAGGTTTTGAATTTGTTTAATTAAATGTTTGAAGTTTCATGTAGAGCCTTTTTTAACATTATTTTTTGGGGGCATTTTGCCTTTATTGGATAGGACACCTTTACAGAAAGGGGATGGCACACATGCTGCAGCGGGGATATAGCCTTTGTAGATTAGGTGAGCTACTGGGCACCCCATGTAGGAGTATCTTTAACAGTAAGATGTGACAGACATTGGTTTGTATTAATTTAACAGCACCTTGCCATCATGTATCGCTTCCTTATTAAATTAGTCCTGTGGTCACTGTTTGACTCTTTTAAGTGACTGGCTAATATTTGAAGTCCCACCCTGTGTGCAAACACTAGATTTGGGGAAACTGCTTTTTGTTTTTGTGCTGCACACACTTGGAACATTTTACATCACACATTAAAACCTAACACAGCTGTAGCTATAGGTCAATTCAAAATCATGATTACAAACTACCCCCCCTTGAATACAACTGGGCTGTGTGTGTATTATTCCTGTCTAAACTGTACTCTCGACATAATTAAAAATGAATGCAAGCCCTCAGTGATTCCTTGAGAATAAAATAAAGGTTGTTTGAATGAATGAATGAATGAATGAATGAATGAATAGGGTAAAAAATTTATGAAATATCAAATTAGGGAAATCTTGAGCCGAATTCAAGACTATAAAATGAAGCCTTTGTTCAAGGGCCTAGATTTTTTTATTTTTTGGCCCACATGTTGTTTTTCTACAAGGACACTCTCGGAAAGGGGATTTTTTAATCTCTTAGGCTTATCCTGGTTAAATAAATTTTACATAAATAAAAATAAAAAGAACATTTGGGGAGTCACATGTTAAGCAAAGGGTCTGGCGATTCTCCCCTAAGGCATTTTGAGCCTCAAACACTTCTTGCATTCTGGTCCGGGCATTTTTATGCACCAGTTTGTTCCTTTTCTACATCAAATTATGGTGGACATGTTGTGGTACTTCCTGCCTCGATCGAGCACAGTTGCTTCCTCCTTCTGTTTTAAGGCGAATTGCAACCATTGCACACTGCCACCATCTCGATATGCACATTTCTCAATATTGAAGGGAATGTGTCCCCTGTCTCCCCCAAAAATCTACGCCTATGCCTTTGTTGTCTCTGTATCTTTTTAGAATTGTAATTTCTTTTTTCTGTTTCCCTACTTTTGTCGTGTTTTTCCTGCAACTTTTTATGCTTCAGTCTCAGATAGTCTCCTTTGCAGAAGAGGTTACTAACCACAAAAGGAGTTACTTGGTTCAACAAAGAATACATAAAAATGTCTTTAGTCACATTGTACTGTGTAATATATGTTTCAATTGGGCCCTGACGATACTGGAGATGAAAATTAAGCTCTCAGTTAACACATAAGTATCATAGTGTGTGTGTGTGTGTGTGTGTACACAGTACCTCCCATATTAATCAAATAAAGCATGATGGATGTGCAGATCTGGGTTGCAGCTGTCTTTAGAGCAGTGGTTCTCAACCTTTTTCTGTAATGCCTCCTTCAGAAGGTGAAAAAGTTCATGCCCACCCACCCCGAATTTTGTAGTCAATCATTGCCATTAACTGGGGAACCAACTAATAAAAAAGGATCCATGTTGAATGTTAGTGACATAAAAGTGAGCATGATGGCATCATCATTATGTGACTCCATATTTGTCCCCTGGTCATCCACGCCCCACCTGCAGTGGCTCTCCCCCCCAGCGGAACCCGCCCCACCATTTCAGACCAACTGCTTCAAGGCTTGACAAGTACAAACCAGTTCCCAGGTAAGTCAGGTAGGGCCACCCAACCCAACCAGTCACCTTATCACCCTGCCGCCTGCAGCAGGCCGCCACAAAGTCTTAGTGTATCTCTCATATCCAGTGGGGCCCTTAGCTCAGATCAGACTGACCACGGACCACACAGGTCATTATCCCGCGCTGCCATGTGATGTTTCATGAGCTCATGAGCATTAATAAACCCCGGTGATCGACTCCACCCTGCTCGTGTTGTTTGCGCTAGGTGTGACTGACTCACTTCCTCCGTGGGCATGTTACCTGTCATCGCCCAGGTCGCTATTTCTCCTGCGCGTCAGCTCGGAGCCATTCGACTCTCGCTACCGGAGTCTTATCATAACGTTAATAATTCAGACTGATAAGAGCCAAATCTGACCGTCGGTACAACGATCGCAGTATGACTGTTTAACGGGGCGAAAACGGCCTCGGCGCATATGCCAAAAGTAGTCAGCGCTGTGCGTAACGGAGATGTCAGGGGCTTGCCCGCGTCCCACATTTACATTTAGCCCTAACTAATCCTGACAATTTGTAGAGCGGCCAGAGGCAGGACTGACACACAGCAAATAAATAAGTAAGCGTGAGGCGAGACTCCGGTTTCTTTGTAAGTGTAAAGGGATTGGGGTTAGATTACCAAAAAGGAGAACCTGATCTCTGTGGCCACCAAGCCTGATAATGACAATAGAGACGCTCGCTAATTATGCAAAATTCATGGCACAGTGGAGATAAAGTGATAGTTTTGCCAAGAAAACAACAAAATAACCAAAGAGGAGACATAACAAGTAATCAGGATGAAGCAGACTCACCGATATGACAGGAAAACAAAAGGCGAGAAACTGTTTCAGCTGCTGCGCTCCTTCTTCTCTCTCACAGATCCTCCTCTTCAGTCCTGCGCTAGATTAAGCAGCAACACATATCTTTTCCGTGATTTAACTTCTGACTCCAGCCAACTGTTTTTTTCTTTGTCATAGGGCGTGTGCCTGAGAGAGAAGGAATGTGGAAAGAGGCGCAGCTTGAGCAGCACAGCAGCTTTTTTTTTTTTTAAACCAACATTTTCTAACAAACATTTCCGTTGTTTAAGAAAACAGACTTTCTAATGTGGTGGAATAAATATTTTTAAGGTTTTTTTTTAATATGTCTAGTTTTATACTTGCACACTCATTTACATTTTTTTTTTTTTTTGCTGGCACACTTTCTCTCAACATGTAAGAACAAGCGCGCGCTCATGTCTCAAAGTGCGCGTGTGTTCAAAGCTTTCCCAACAGACAGATGTACTCAAGCCACACCCTGAAACTTAACTCACTTGAGCAAAGAATGGAAAGATAGTGTTCAGTAGAAAGGAAACTTTTGGACAAGCTGTCAGATGAAGGCCTGAGCAGCAAGAAACACACACATTTTTATATTTTATTTACATTTATTTGTAGCTTTTCACATTAAAATCCTGCTTTGCCAACACTGCAGCTTCTGTTTGTGCCCGGGAGGAAGATGACAAACATCACAAGATGCGTTTTCCAAGTATTACACAAGCCAAGAATACATAATGCTTACACACACACTCTCTGTTTTCACACAATGCATTCCCATTCTGCAACTCCCTTGAAGACCTGTAAGCACAAGCAGCTGTGAGTGAGTGTGTGTGTGTGTGTTCTGGGAAACAGCAAGGACTGGTTCTAATATTGCTGTTCAATAGTATTCTCTGACAGAGTCTGTGCCAGTTTGTTGCAGGTGAGAGGACAGGGTGAGAAGAAATACATAAAGACTGGCAAACACAGCGTTGTGCAGCTGAAACAGACTTTAGGGTGTTTTCCATTTGGCTGTTTTCCCATTTTCTCAAACTACATGGCACACAGACAAGCCAGTGACAGACGTGAAACTATAACAGAGTATCTGAGGGCTCCCTATTGGCTGAACCCCCCATGCTTGCTTGCGAGATGCCCAATCAGCTGCCAGAACTCCAGGAAGTTGAGCTCTCCATCATTGTTATTGTCCAATGAGCTCATGAGCTGGTCAATGACAGTGGGGTCGGCAGCATTCTGCAGGAAAACAGAACGACACTGCGTTAAATACTTAAAGAAAACAACAGTGAGAGTCAGTGTGGAGCAACTGGGATGTTACTGGTTGCGTGTGTGGGGCAGTGAGACAGAGGCAAGCTGACACCACTGGCACGTACGCCAGTTGAAAAATTAATGCAACGTCAGCAGAGGTGGTTTGGCACAAGGAACTGTGGCTCTGTCTCCATCTAGTGGCCGGTGTGGTTATTCCTACTGTTCATGAAAGAAGAAACACATGGAATTTTCCACACTTGGAAAAGGCAGCCCAAGATTTTTTGTCAGACTTCAGGAACTACTACTCTCTGCCATTGTGCTCTGGTTAAACATGACAAAACAAAAACCATGAGGCAAGTCTCTGAAGGGTGGCGACTCTTCCTTTATGACACACTCATTGTTTTTGTGGAACACGGTGAAACATAAAATGTGAAGTTATATCCTGTCCCAACATGAGAGTTAACTGCTCTAGATCACAGGAGAGAGTCAAATACTCTGAGATATTCAAGCACACATTTGACTTGGAAGTACAGTGAGACCACGTTCATTAAAAACCGCCCACGTAAAAGACCAGAAGTGGCCGTTTGCACACAAGTATGACTAACAGTTAATTATATGGGCACAGAAAAAAGAGCCAATGTGGCATCCAGATGATTTCAATATGAATCTGGCCTTATGAGGAAGCTTTGTTTTTTGCCTGAGGCTGTATTCACAAACATTCTCTGGCTCTCAGAGAGCTCCTAACTTAGCCTTGTTACAAACTGTAAAGCCCTCACTCATCTCTGTGTGCTTTACTCCAGGGCTGGTTGGCCTTCTTTGACCTTTCATAGGCTCAGTCACTGGTATTTGTACATTTATAAAGCCATACGGAGTAAGTGCACAGACTGAGGTGGTAGAGAAAGGTTTTATGTGCTCTGCTCTCCTCACTTGTAACAGCCTTCAAAAAGATTTCAGACACAGAGAGAACTGGTCTCTTTGCCTGATTTTAAAGCTCATATAAGTACTGGTAAAAGGATAAATAAATAAGTTGGTACTTGTCATTGTATGCAGGTATTTTAATATTTTGTTAATGTATATCTTCTATGTGCTGCTGTGTTGGCCAGAGCCCCCTTATAAAACAAGACTTACCTGCTTAAATGTGGGTTTAATTAAACAAAGAAATTACTAAAAAAATCCTGATAAGGAGTCTGAGCTTAGGAGTGATCTGAAATTGTAAGTTTAAATATGCAAATGATGCATCATCTAATTAAATATGCACTATTTTGCTTTTATTTTCAGAACAATAATCTGAACACTGGATAAAGCCAGGTTCAAATTTTTGCTTTATGTTTGTAGACATATTAGACTCAAAGGTTTTTGAGGAGGGACTTTTGGATATCTCTTTTTATCACTCCATAAATCAGAAAATACTGTCAACAGCCATAAAAAATACACTTTCACGAAAATGTTATATAAATTGAGCGACTACAAAGTGCCCATTTAATTATGGAAAATTGTTTTGCTGTTGCTAAAATATCCCAACAACAAATGTAAAAGCACTCATTATACAAACCCCTCTTTAAAAACCTCTACAATAAAGACAGGAATACAGTTGGAGAGTCTGGAGTATACACATGCTACAGAAGTTGAGATTTTTGGGTATGAGAAAAAACTCAACTTGAGAAAAACAACCTTTAAAGATATGTCTTGTAAAATTCCATACATATTAAGACACAAAGAAAAGAAAGAAACTAGTGCAAAAAATAGATAAATATAAAAAATAAAAATAAATAAAACACCAAATAGATATGACCACGAAACTTCTTCTGGTGAATTATTTATATGAAGACAATTATTTTTTGTATTACAAGTTTTCTGAAATTGTATATGCAAATGAGGCATTATCTAATAACGTTCACTTTTTGCATAAATTTCCAGAACAGAAATCTGAACTAAAATAAACACCCAAATTTGTATTCTAAACACTGTCTTTCCAATAGTCTGAAAGAGGACATGTAGAGGCAAAATAGCCTAAAATCTCAACATTGACTAGTGCATATGATTGGTTGACCAAAAAAAACCCAAACACTCTTTGTAATAGTAAATACATGAGTGTCAGTGAAATCAATAGGTCTAATCATATTCAGTCTCCTTTTTAGAGATGGTGTAATAATGAAAACTATTAAATCTAATAAACATCTCTGTTGAATAAATTGTAAGCCACTCTTTACAAGTAGCCGACAAAATGTTTGAAAACACAGGCCTGCAGTACCTGTGCAGTCACTTATCACCATGTTAATAGTTGTTATATTAATTTGCTAATGTTTATTTACCACGCTGGTAATTTTGGTACTTAGTCTATTGTCACTCAGCATTTGGAGAATATTTCCCCACCTCTTTGTCTGTCTGTCATTTTCACTTCTGCTTAAGAAACTCTAAAACCTTCCGAAAAGTCCACCACCCTACTCCGGACAGCTTTTCAACTTAAGAGCTCTCTCAAGGGCTAAAATGCTTTGTGAATAACTCACCAGGATCTGGTTTTAACTGTGAAATCATAATTCTAGGAATTTATGTGGAATTTTGTTCCTTGGATCAACTAGAGAATTGTTGCCTATTATGAAAAGACAAACAAGGCGTTGTCTTGTTTCTAAATACCTCACCAATGTCCCAGGCTTTCTGTGACTCTGAGCCACTAACCAATGAGTTGTAAAGACAAAGATCTTCAGGCTTAAAAACATACTTTTAACCTTAAAACAGGCCAAACAGGCTTTTCCCCCAAACTAACTCAACACTGTAGCTTCTATCAAATTTGACCTTAAAAGGGGTAAATAGTGCATTTGTTGGGGAATTTTTTCAGGCACGTATTAATGCACATTTAGTGTACTAGTGCACATCTGTTGCAGCAGGACAGTGTCAGATGTTTATGGTAATGAAGGACCATGTCACAATCTGCAAAGTGTGGCTGGCTGATGTGTTTTTGGACAATCATGGAGCTCTATAGGACAGAGGAATGAGCTGTATCAGGCTTTGGATGCGTGCTAAACACTATGATCAGTTCATTGTTTCGGTCTTTTCATGGAATTAGTTGAGAAAAAGCAAAATATAAAACATATCTCATATTACTCTTTAATATTAAAAAAGAAAGAAAGAAAGAGACCAAATAACAGACAAACAAAAATTAATGAAGTTTCAGGGGCTCCCCTGGCCTTTACCTGCAAAATGTCTAGTGCAGCAATGATTAATTGATCATTTATTATATTAATCAGCAACTAATTTTATCAACCTTCATCAGTTTGAGTAATTTTGTTTAAGAAAAAAGAGGTCAAAATCTCAGATTCTAGCTTATTAAATGTGAATATTTTCCGGATTCTTTACTCCTGTATGACAGTAAACTGGACATCTTTGAGTTGCCATTTTAGAACATCAATTTGGGCATATTGATTTTTTTTCTGATGTTTTATATACTAAACAACTCATCAACTAATCGAGAAAATAATCAACAAATGAATTGACAATTAAAAAATAATCATTAGTTGCAGCCCTAAAAATGTCACTCAAATGAACACGCACTGACTGGGAGGAGAAACAAAAGGAGATGCAATAGTAACTGCAATAACTCCAAAGCTGACAAAAAAAAACATTAAGAGACACACAATGTCCACAAAGAGACATAAACAGCCAAAACAAGACACTGAATGACCCCAATAAGACACAATCTGACTACAAAGAGATACAAAACAACCATAAGGAGATGAAAAAATGACCACAAAGAGAACCAAAACTAAAAAAACAAGAAGTATGACTACAAAGAGAAGTAAAAATGCAAAAAATTAGAAAAAAACACCACAGTCTGTGTCTTGCTCCTGTGTAGGAAAGCTGTCGTGACCTTGCATGTCTGTGCCCAGAATCCCATTGCCCATTGCCACCCATGTATGCAATAGCTACTAAAGTGACAACCCTCCACACACTGAAATGTATTACACCAACAAGCAAACATATACAACTACACAACAGTGGTACACCACAGCAGTAATGCTGTTTGTTAGACCTACAGTCCTCACCTTGACAAAGTTGGGGAGCTCTGATTTGACCAGTCTGTGGAACTCATCTCTGCTCAGTGTGTCAGAGGAACCATCGCTGCCAGCATGCGCCTTGAACTGGGCCACCAGCACACCAATAGCAGACTCCATTACAGATCGAGAGATGGACAGGGAGGGTCTTCGGGCCAATACTTCATGAGAGGTAAAAAAAGAGAACTGCTGTCGATCACAATGATAATACATTTCCAAAATACAATTAAGATATAATTCAGATTAAGTTAGAAGAAAAACAACGGCACTTGTAACTAGAATTTAATCTGGCGACACAAATCAGAGAGACTCACCAAGTCAGGTGTGTGTGTGGATAAACTGTGAGGACACAAGTCTTCCTGGTCTTTTTGTAGCCGGCCTGTCCTGGTAAAAGAGATGAATCATTCACTAATTTCTCTCTATACATTTACAGGTTGTGTTTGACTATGTATTGGAATCAGTAAAAATGTAAACCATGTTTCCCAAACTCCGCTGGCCTTTTTCCATGACGTGCTTGCATTTTCAGATGCAATCTCAGCGTGTAACTGCTCCCTGGCAGGATATGGGTTGCTGGATGAATCACCTCATTCAGGAAACCGCAGACTAACAATCGGAGTTAGGATGGTTTAAACATATTACAAATAGTTTAATGTTTTGCTCAGTTCATGCCAATGCACGGACAATAGTTTCACATTTTTCCTTTGCTGTGTGTGAGCGTGCAAAAAGCTGCAGAGAGCGAAAAGAGAGCAGTAAATCAGATATAATTACACAGTCCGTGTTGCAAAAACTTTTGAGAACGAGGCACTTGGGTTTCACCTCGGAAAAGTCGTATCATTTAAGCGGAAGCTCTGACAGGATGTGCACAATTGGCGTATTAGGGAGGCAGTTAGTGCTGACAAGCACAATAACTTTATCATCCAAATATCCCCGCGCCTAGTTTTCTTGTCTCAGCTGCATGACACACACACACACAGATACACAAACACCTATATCCCCATACACCTGAAACAGCAGTCTTCACTTCTTTTTCCTCCATTCCCCCAGCCATCGTTGAGGAAGCAGAGAGCAGCAACTAAGACAAAATAAATGACTTACAGAGCGGAGAAATCACATACAGTGGTATAAAAGCATCAGGGTTTTCTGCGGGGCGCTGCTCCTACTTTTCTTATGATTAATGTTTTTGTGTCTAAGGATTTGTTGATCTATATTTCAAAACATAATCCATACTTCTTGAATTGGTTGATTGCCTGCTGCACCCACTCATCCAGCCTTTAAAGTAGATGCATGCTTTAAATGTTTCATGCAAATAAATAAAAAAACACATGTGGGAAAAGCTCAAGAGGTCCTTAAAGTCATACACATATACAGGGTTGATTTATAGTGTCTCGTTTCACAGGCTTTATTAGGTAGTTATTCATTACAGAAGAGTGTGCGTTAGGGAATGTGAAGCTGCTTGAGACGTTGCTTTTCCACAGAGGCAGCAGTATAAATTGTGTGTTTCTGTTTGTATATGACATTCCTGCTAAAGCAATAGTGGAACAGTTTCACAATATTATCAGGAGGAACTACACTTTGCTTTGTTGTGATGGGCTAAGTATCAATACTTCTCACATGCAGAGAACCAGTTATTTATCTTTCTCACATAGGATCAGCCACAACATTAAAACAGGTCATCATCTTGTTACATCTTTGTTTTCATGTGAATACCACTTGACATGCACAACCTACCCAAACACCATTGCAGACCAAGTACACCCCCTAATGGCAAAAGCACTCCCTGATGGAAGCAGCTCCCTCTGCCTGAACAGCTCAGAGCCAAGTCTGAACCAAGGAGGCCCTACTATCAATGGCTTTGGCTCTTGGGTACCGGCACGTCCCACAGATGCTCAATCGGACTGGGATCTGAGGAATGTGAAGGCCAGGTCAATGTCCTTTGCTCTTTGTCACTTTCTCAGGCCATTCCTGAGCAGTTTTAGCAGTGTGGCATAGTGCACTATTTTGCTGGGAGGGCTACTGCCATTAGGAGCTGTTGCCATGAGGGGGTGTATTTGGTCTGCAGTGGTGTTTGGTGCATGGCAAGTGGCATCCACATGAATACTAGGATGAAAAAAAATATTACGTATATATTTGTGTTGTATTTGTCATCATAACTCAAAATATACTCAGTTTCTCAAAGTACCTCCAGAAAACAGGATGTTGAAAATCTCCTGAGATTAATATTCTGGAGGCTTAATCAATAAGATGTTGAGTAAAAGCATTTTTGACATTTTTAAGTAATATTTCATCTCATGTTACTTTAAACACAGTTTAACTACAAATTATGTAGTTTAACAATATGATAGACTGAAATGTATCCTTGCGCCTCCTCTTTGCCTCACAGTCAGCCATGCTTGTTAAAGAAGGGGACGTGGCTCTACTACAGTCCATTTTAGATGTGGAACACTGTGATTGGCTCATAAACATCAGGTAGTGCATTTGGGTGGAGTCAGATGACAGTAATCTTAGATCTCTAGACATCTTAGAAAAGTTATCTCCATTGGAACGGACGGGGGATCGGAACGGGTTAATGTTGTGGCTGATCGGTGTAGTTATGCAACTGTACTGATTGACAGTATTTGTGTAAAAATATTCAACATTTAACCAAGGCAGTACTCCAGTTTCTGGTTTAAACAAACACTCAGTGACTGAAGAATGTGAAATCATCATAATTCATCTCACCCTCTTTTCTTTCTTTCTTTTCCTCTGCTACCACCAGCCAAGGTGTTGCTCCACCCATACAGATACAGGTAATATAAAAGTGAAGAACAGCGGGAAAAGTATCCCAGACGAGAAGTTAACACCAGTCTGGCAAAGGCAACCCAAGGAGAAAGGAGCCGATTCGTCTGCAATGGCACACAAAGTAATACATCACTTGTGTTGTATTGATCTGTCAGCAAATTCATCTTTTTACAGATTCCACTGACTTTCAACAGAAACTGTGGGGAGAACTGTTCAAACAACCATTAACTTATTATTAATAATCAGTGAAACCAAAGAGCTCACCTTCCTTTCTGACCTCGCAAAAATCATCAGGACGTGTAAGTCAAACAGGATGGAATTCAGATGAAGATCTGAAATCATGGTCTGGTAAAATCAATGACAAACATTTTAAAGATGGAGTAAAAAGAAGACAAAAGCAAACGATTTCATCACAGGGATGAACCCAATTTATTATTCTGCTCTTGTGACAGTAACAGGGCCAAATATGAACATCCTAACATACAAGGGTCTCTAAGCTGCCACTATGCGCTTCTTCATCGACGCCCTTTGAAAAACACTCACTGTGTGGCTGCAGGCCCTTCAATCAACAACATTTAATAAGTTAGCCATGCCTTTTTTTTTCTTGGAAACTACGTGCCATGACCTCCGTGCCACGACAAACCTAACCGATAAAAACAAATGTTACATTCATAACCAAACAAAAAATTAAGGACATTTTAGTGCACAACATAAGTTCCGTACCTGAAATGAAACATACATGCTCAACATGTTTATATATATTATGTGCCAACCAATTATATTTGTATCTATATTACGCCCACCTCTATAAAATAAGTTAATTATGTGTGTCTGCATGTCAGCATAATTCTTAAACACATTTAATATGTACAATCAATCAAAACAAAGAAAATCATAGCTAATTTTACACAAAATATCCACTAAACCTTTTTCAGCATTTCACGCCACCCTTTCTAAGCACTAATGATTTAAAGGTAATCTGACATTAAGAGCTAGGCTAAAGAAATTAATACATAAAGATGGCATTCTCTAGGTACAGTGTATGATCAGTGAAAAAAAGGTAGACTTCATCAGTGCAGAGTGCAGTTTGCAGAGGAAGAGGTGCAGTGTCTGGATAAGACTTTACATTATCTATTCCTGCATCAAAGTCAAAGCAGAGTAACATCCAACTCAATCTAACAGGTTTAATCTCCCTTATGCCAAAGGAAAAAAGTGGCAGTGTGTGCAGAAATGACTTTCACACCAACAGATTACATTAGCTGCAGGTGAATAAAAAATGTGTGGGGTTTTCTATGGATTGAACACTTGATTATAGAGCACACAAAAGCTACATAATGTATGCATTGTGCTTCATTATTATCAGTAGCATCTTCTCTCTTATGTCCATTCAAGATGCAGGGACTTCCTCCATTATTAAGTACTAGCGTGTGCATGTGCGTGAAAAATACAAAACAACCCAAAAAAAAGGTGAAATCAAATTACAAGCTGAACTTCTTGGACAACAAATGTAAGGGGTAAAATAAGATCCCGTAAAAAGGTGTGACAGGATGATAAATGTATACTTCTAAGCATTTGTGGTCCAATATAAAATGTTCCCTTTGAATAACCTCTCATCCGTCATGACTGCTCTTAAGCTACTTTTGACAGATCCATCAATTGTGTCACATCATCAGCCACGTCCTCGTCCGCTCTCCTTCCTCCACTCCCCTTTGGATCTCTCCTCTTTCTCTACCGCTCCTGGCACCGAAAACTTTTTCATGACTTCTTTTTCAAACTCTTCCATTTCATCCTCTATGGCGCTATCCTCATCGTCCCCGTCGTCATCGTCTTCCACCATGTCTTCCAAGATATCTTCCAAATCTTCGACGAACTCCTGAAAGCTCATCTGGTCGTGGACAAAGACTCCATCCTTGAAGAATTCGGTGGCTAGCTTTTTGAGCTCCTCTCTTTTGGAGTCATCCACTCCCGCCCCCTCTGCCTTGGCTAGGTACGTTTGGAGGATGGCCTCAAACTCGGGCAGAGAAACAGGGAGCAGACCCTCAGCTTGAGCGCAGGTCTCCAGTGAGTCACACTGCTGTGGTGTTTTGGGGTTGTGTTGAAGGCGTTCTCTCTGCTGGGTCCAGTACTCAGGCTGGTCCAGGGAGTGTCGGCTGTGTGTGTGAGGCGGCTTCCCATCTCCCCACAGGTGCTCTTCCTTGTGGACATTAAATCTGTGCTCACCTTTGTGTTTCTGGGGGCTTGATTTGTCCTTTTTCCACTCTCCGTTGTGATTTTTGTCTTTCTCTCCTCCTCTCTTCCACTGTTCTTTCTTTTCCCACTGTTTCCTCTCGTCTGTCTTACTCCACTCCTTTTCATCTCTGCCATTTTTACTCTTCCACTCATGCTCATTCCACTGTTTCCTCTCATCCCTCACTTTCCTTTCTTTACCGTGATTTTTGCTGTCTTCCCACTGTTTCCTTTCTCCCTTTCCTTTCCATTCCTTACCATAATCTTTGCCGTTTTTATTCTTCCAGTTACCGTCTTTCTTCTCTCCTTTTTCTTTCCAATCTTTCCTTTCCCATTTCTCTTTGCTACTTTCCTTGAAGCCATCTTGGCCCTTCCTCCACTCCTTCTCTCCCTTCAGTTCCTCCTTGCCTTTGTGCTTCTCTCCACGGTCTTTTCCTACCTTCCAATCCTTCCTCTCCTCCTTACCCCTCCATTGTTTGCCCCCATTCACTTTCTCATGCTTTGCCCTGTTCCAGTCTTTCTCCTGCTTTCTTTCTTTTCTCTCACTCTTCTCTATCCACTCTTTCTTTCCTTCCCTATCCTTCCATGGCTTTCCGCTATCACCTCTGCTAGCCTTGTCTTTCTTCAACTCTTTCTCCTTCCATTGCTTACCTTCCTTATCTTTCTCCTTATCAAACTTTCCTTGCTCATGTTTTCCCTTTTTCCATTCTGTTTTACCGCCATCTTTCCGATCCTTTTTCTCCCCTTCCTTCAAATCAGATTTATCTCTCTCTTTCCACTCCTTCTCGTCAATTTTATCCTTCTTCACATCTTTCTTCTTCCCCCTCTGGTCATCCCATGGCTGCTTAGTCTGGCTTTCTGTAGATCCAGCTGTGCCCTGCTTGCTGTCCTCTGGCTGGCCACCGGAGGGCGATGTGGTGGCCTTTACAGGTGCTTGAGCTGCTTCACTGGCTGCTGAAGGAAACACAAGAAGTCAGTACAACTACAAAGATGAGAGGTGAGCATTCAAGTGAGAATAACAGAAAAAGAAGAGGAAAGGAGGAAACACGCTGCACCCTCCCTTGCTGTCTAATATCTATAATCCTTCTACATCTTCTACCCTCCTCCACGTGCCCTCCCTACTTCCTCCCTCTGTCCCGCTGTACCTGAGGAGAGTTTTAATTCAGTCACAGTGGATCTCAGTGTTTCTAGTTCTTTCTGTAGGGCCGGGACAGACTCCAGCTCTCTCTTCATCCTCTTGTTCTCTTTCTGAAGGACAGGGAGAGATGCCATCTCTTTCTTCAACCTACTGTTTTCCTTCTCCACCTCCTCCCACCGCAGACGCTCCTTTGCTCCCTCTGCTGCCTGTCCCTTGGCTACTTTTAGCTCTTCATTCTGTGCCTGTTTGAAAAAAAAAAAAGGAACAGGAAAAGAGGGTCCTGTGAGAATATTACAAACTCAGTGACACGTTTATGCACAGACACACATTTATGTATATATGTATACTGCACACACACAGACACACAGAGATAAGGTGAGAGACAGAATGGAGTCACACCTGAAGTTGGGCTTCTAGCACAGAAATCTGCTGGTTCCCTTTGGCTAACTTATTTAGAAGCTCTGTACTGTCAGCATCTACTGCGGGCAGAGGAACCTCTGGATTAAGCCACTCCTGTCGACAAATTGCAGACAGTGTACAACACAATGGTAAATTTAGATGACTTCTCAGAATTTCTATTGCCAGACAGCAGCAGTCGAAAAATTAGAGAACAGTACATGTTGATGAAGCAGGAGAGAACAAAAGTCCAGGGAAGCACAGTTGGTAGACAATGCTGCCAGTGTTGTGGGTGGTCTCCTGCTGGGCATATCACACTAAAAATTCATGTGGTGGTACTTACTGTGCTGTAAACTCAGCACTCAAATGGTATTTATAATGAACAACAGAAAGAACACAGACAGAATAGAAGGACAAAAAAAGAAGTGACAAACTGACGTCAGACTGACCTGTTTTCCTGGTACCTCTGCATCCTTCAGGTCCACTGTACCATAGTCACTCTCTGCAAATGTATTATGCAAAGCTTCATGTTCATGTGAATACATACACTTACAAAGAACAAGAGCAAACGCTTTTCATATTATGGAAAAACATGCACCTACCCGAACAACAATCACGGCTTTAATAATAAAATGTGTACTCTGAGCTGAGTAAGGGCATGTATACACTGTATAATATCTAAAATGAAAGATCATGGACAATATATTTATTAAAGGTTGAAAACTGCAACTTTTCAGTTTAAACCTTATCCTCCATGTTTTGACACTGATCATGGTAGGAGCTATTTATAAAAACCTAAAAGAACATTTGGTATTTAAAGTTATGGTAGTCGAGCTTAAAATTATTGGTTTACATTGCAGTGATGCAGAACAGTGTTTTCATACAACAACAGCAAATAGGCCTCAGCGCAAAAGTGCATAAATCCTTCCCTCTCTTGCTCGCACAAGTTTAGAAGCGTGCAGGGCTTTTAAAATTCACTTTCAGAGGAATATTTCACCCGCAAGATGACCACTGGTATACCAATTACTCACTGCATGTTATGTTGAATTCGTGAACAAAACTTTTCTTTTTCTTTCATGCCTTCATGATGAACAGAAAATCCAACAAAGATCATTCTTAATGAGCTGGAGTAAATGGGGACCGCGTTTAATGGCAGCAAAACTATACATACATAAAAAAAATATCTGTTGACAAACTCTCATACAACTTATGCAGTATAATCCAAGTCTCATTTGTCCAGCTGTTTGCTTAGTAATTCCTAAACACATGCATTTTCGCTAAAATGTTCCAATATTAAACACTTCCGCCAACGACAAATGCACCCTGAGCATGCCTGAGCATGTACCTGTGTATGAGCTCTGCTTGAGCAGAATTCAAACACACGTGCGTGCTTGGGCATGCTACTTGGCCGTGCATGAGATTGTTTGTACTGATGGGTTTTAGTGAAAATGCATGCACAACTGGATAAATGAGACTTGCATTGCACTGCAGGAGTTGTGTGAGTTTGTGAACAGATGATTTTATACACTTTTACTGTCCCCTTTTACTTCAATTCGTGAATAATGTCCACCTTTTTTGGACACGTCGTTCACCAAGGAGATGTGAAATAAACAAAGTTTTCTTTACGAATTCAAGGTAACATGCAGCGAGTAATTGCTATACAAATGGTCATTTTGTGGCTGAAGTATTCCTTTAAAAAGGTCTCTGATGCAAAACAATTTCTTCTGCATGCAGTCATACATACAAACACATGCTGTGGGCCAGAAAGCACTCATTCGCTCACTCACACACATAACGTACCCTCATCCAGGTCCATGAAGATACCTGCAGGTATAATACACCTCAGTCTCAGAGCACCCTTTGTCTAGTTTACTGCTAGTAACTAATCATTTTCCTCTAACTCACTGCTCTTTAACATCTTAAAATTAATCTAAAATTAATTTTCAGAGTAACAGGCAAAAGAAAACCTTTTCATAAGGTCATATGGGGATACCTACCTGAGAAAAAGATGGTGCCAAGGCCCACCAGGATGACAGCACCCAGGATGCACTTGTTCACAGAGAACCCGCTGTCTTCCTCCCGCTGTGGCAGCTGAAACTCTTCCTCTCCTTCCTCTTCCTCCTCTGTCCTTCCGATCCGCTCCAGAGCTGCTAGGAGAGACCTCCTTCTCCTCACCTCTGGCTCTGCCTCCTCTCCCGTCTTCTCAGTCCTCTCCTCAGCCACCTCTGAATCCACAGGGGAGTCTGGGGCAGTGGAAGGGAAGAGTGTGAAAAGCTGTTGTTTTCAGAAAGAGTATTCAACCACAGCATGGTATAACTACAAAATGGAGAACATAAAAATGCCTTCATTGGCCAGTCATAATTACATATTCAGCTAAGCTGTGTAACAAATAGTACACTCTATTTTTTTTACTTTCACTTTGCAATTTGTAGGTTTAATCTACTCGACGTTACCCCCAAAGCATAAATGTTCAAAACAGCTGTTGTAAATTAGAGGATTTTATTTTCTAACACATTTATTATTTTAAAGCTGTTGCAAATTATTGGGCACAAATTTGCTCTTGCAGTTTCAAAGTTGATGTTAGATAGCACAGCAGCGATGGCGCTGTAAACGGTCTGATGCTGCAGTATACTCCTCGCGGGAGATAAGACTTGCTTCTTTATTGGCTCTGCTGTGCATGGCACGCTGGTTAATTTGCTCTGTTGCCATTCCTTATTTTCCTTTAAACTGCATAGATAAGGCTTAAATCTTGAATAAATCGTCTGGAAAGTGATTCAAGTGATTCATTTTGGAACTTCTGGCACTGAAGTTTCTAAACTATTTGCATCACTATTTTTTGTAGAAGAGCAGTGGTACTATAAATTGGCACTGTAAAGAACTCTGACGCTGAACTAGTTGTTAAACAAAAGGTGTGTGGAAAAAAATGCACAACGGAGCAAAAGAAAACTCATTTTTTAATGCTGTAGCTAGAAAAAGAGCTGCGGACCAAAAGCACCACACTGCAAAAAAACTTTAGAGGCCCCGGTCCCTCTGAAGCCAATTTACTTCTGCAGGGTGTCATGCAACTAAAAGTTTCTCTGTCACATCATGCTCCCTGCCTCGTACCAACCACAGCCTCTGCAGACAACCTCCTGGCCCAGATACTGAGCAATTCCATAACCAGCTGGTCCACCAAGTGCACTTCAAACACAAACAGTACATACAGCTTAGTCTAAAATAAAAGGAAAGGATACAGGCATACCAGGTGATAATCTAACAACAAATAAAGAGTGATACTAAGGTCAATATAATATTAATGTAATAACATGATAAAGTTTTCATACCTGCTTGTTTACCTGAGTCAGTCCTTGGAAACAGGTCAGGCTCCTCCCCTTGCTGTTGGTGCTCCTCCCCATTTAGCTGATGCAGTGCCCCATCCTGCGTGTGCCTCTCTTCGTCCTGCGTTAACTCCACCCCTCCCAGAGTCTCTGTGCTCAGCGTTGAGGCTGGGGGCTCATCAGGGGAGGGGGTTATGTGGGTGTAGGAGTCAGAAAATGAATCAGGGTCAGAGCTGGACTGTGCCGGGCCCTCAGGTAGGCCCTCTGACTGGCTGAGTGCATCACTGCCAGGGACAAAGCTGTCAGGGACTTCCAAAGAGGTGGGAACAGAGGCATCAGTGACGGTGATGGGCTCAGCGGTGTATTGCTCTGTGCTCGTGTCTTCACTTAGCTCTGCTGTTTTGTCCTCTGCTACCTGGGTAAAAGAATCAGGTCATTAATATTCCTTAAGGTATTACACTGCCAGCCAAAGGATTTAGAGCTCCCTTTTAAGTTTTTTGGATTAAATTCAAACAATGCTCCTAAATTTGACACTCTGGGCAGAGAGTTAGATAAGAAGTTCTATACCTCTCTAGTATCAGGACAGTAAATATAAAGATACAGCTAGCAGCTGTTCATTTAGCAGCAAAGACTGAAATAAAGGGAAAGGGAGCAACCAGCACCTCTACAGTTTACTTATTAACAGGTTACATCTCTCTTTTTTCTTTTTAATCCAAACAGAAAACAAAGCATTTGAACATCAGTTCTTGTGAAACAACAGTTCACTGTTTTACAAAGGACTGTGTTCTGGACTATTTCTTGGATGGAGCCAGTTGTTAGGCAACCAGCGGAGACTACAGGATGTTAGCAGTCGCGACCAAGAAATAGTCCACAATAGTCCAGGAAGATATTGGCGCCTTGTAGCTGAGCCAGGCTAGGTGCTAACGGTCTTTATTCTAAGCTAGCCAGCTGCTGGCTATAGCCTTATCAGCAGGGTTCCCACGTTCATGAAATTCCTGGAAAAGTTATGAAATCAGAAAAATGGTTTTCCAGGCCTGGAAATGGTTTGGAATTAACAGAATGTTTTGTATCTACATTGTTTTGGCTATAGTTTAAAATAAGTTCAAAAAAATACCCTAAAACAAATTCTATCATCAAGCGACATACGTTAAAAACAACCATAAAAAAAAAGTTTGTTTAATAAGAAATAAATGCATGCAAATTTGTCAAAATTTAAATCTAAATACTAAGTCAAACTGCACTGACACTAATATGATCTTCAGTTTTACATACCCCAAAAAGGAGGGCATCCTCAGCGTTTTGCAAGGTGACTATTCGCACTTCTGCTAACTTGCAGAAGTGCAAATAGTTTGCTTATCAGCAAATGCCTCGGAAGTACGTGTTTAATAATGTATGGCCTACCCTTTTTAATCTACTTTAATAAATTCATGGAAATGGCATAAAATATTATGGAAAGGTTTTGAAAATTCATTGGTAAAACTTTGCGGGAACCTGTATGATATTCTCATCAAACTCTATGTCAGAAAGTCCAACAGTGTATCTCGCAAAAATGTTGCACTATTCTTTTAAATTAAAAATATATAAGAAATAGGTATAAGTGGCATGTTTGCGACTTTCTGTATTTTGTGCACATGCCTTTAAAAAAAAGCCACTGCTACAATCAAAAATATGCACACTTTTTTAAAAAGTTCTTTGAATAGAAACTAGAAACTAAAAATTGTTTTATACCTTCATTAAAGGAGATCTATGCAAATTTCAAAGCATATGACTTCTCTGCTAGCCAGCAGCTAACAGTGCTAACTCCATAAACAGTGCTAAACAACGGCAACGGCTGACAGAGCTAACAGTGTTAACTGGGGGGAACTGGGGGGTGGCTGCCGTCCCTATATCGGTTGTAATTGACATATGACTGCAGTGCCAAGTGACAGCGATGATCTAGCCAGGGGGATGGACACATGCACCAAACATGCACCCTTGAGGACAGAGGGAGCTTGACTTTATTCTCTGCTCAGAACACCATCACTCCACTGGATCTTAAATAGAAAACAGTGGTTTGCTGCTGAATTACTGCTCTGAATGTTGCATAGAGGACCTTTAAGCTGGTAACAGCTGAAATGAGTCATCCTCTAGGTATAAATACTTGGGTTATAATGTGGCTACACACCCACTGGTCAATTAGAATCAGGCACTGCTAGTGCCTATGGTATAAACAGTTTAAAGGCAATTCAGAAAGAGTATTCAACCACAGCATGGTATAATTACAAAATGGAGAACATAAAAATGCCTTCATTGGCCAGTCATAATTACATATTCAGCTAAACTGTGTAACAAATAGTACATTATCAAAAACAATGTGTATTGCTGTCCTACCAGGTGGCCCTCCACAGGGAGCCCCTCTGCAGGCTCTGCACCGTTTGCAGGCGGGTTCTCCCCAGAACCTGACTCATCAAACACAGAAAAACAGGGCAAGGAGGAAGACTGTTAGAGCAATAGCTTAACATTTCAACTGGGAAGGCAAATGGGAAAAAAAGTACAAATTAAAACTTGGAAATTAGAATGGGTTTGTGTGCTGGAAATATGTTTTTTCTTCGCTATAAATAATCTCACAATCCTCAAATGTATTGTGACACACACCTGCTGCACATGTAAGGCCTTCCTCATGGTGCTCTGTCCCCTCTGCCAAAGGCCTCAGGGTTTCAGCAACAGTCTCCTGGAACACAAACACACGGACATAATTACTATTTAGATATTACTGCAAGTACAGTTCAGTCTTTTACTATCTTGCTTCTGGGCATCAGCAGTGACGAAGCATCACTCTTTTAAACAACAACTCCTGCCAAAGTGCCACTAAACAAGGCAGAGTGTTCATGTGTGTGTGAGTGTGTGTGTAAAACTAACCATCATGCCAGAGCCTCTTAAGCTAGTTTGCCTGAGTAACAGTTAAAATCATAAAAAGAAAAGAAACAAAGACAGTCTTATTACAGAAACCTACTTCATATCCAGGTGACCCAAAAGAAAATCAATTGGGACAGAGACTTTTCTTTTTTAAAAATAATGCATTTTCATTGAGGTCATGCACAGTGACTTCCTTTGCTCTTTACAGAGTGGTGATACCTCAGAAGTGAGGATGGTCCAGCTGTTGTTAGCACTGCTGCCGCCAGACATGGCCCCCTAGAGGCTTTGCCTGTCTCCTGCAACACAAGAGGAACATAAAACAGGTAACATGATTAATAGTAGTTCACAGAGAAGAAGTCAAATTAAATGTGTACTCCATTGTGTCTTCATACGCTCTGCATCAAAGCTGGCTGTGTGATTTTCCAACAAGGTAAATCCTAAATTGTGAAAAATAGAATTTTGGTTTGTTAACAGTGCACTTGTTACTGAAGCGACAGCTACACAGCCCTTAAGTGAGCTGGCGTATTGTTCAGAGGCCTGCCACAAGAAACAGTGTGAGTACTGCAGCTTAAACACATTTACATCTCCTGTTTACCCATGCGCAGGATTTGAATACATGCCTTCGCTATTCAGCCTCACCCATTCTGCCAATAAAGGAGCTACTGTAACACATTGCTGTGTGTGTGCGAGAGAGTACATGTGTGTAATGTGTGCAGGAAGTCCAGCTCCCTGGAAGCATTGAGTTCGTCATTAGTAGTTTGTGTGTGTTTCGGGCCTTTGGTCACCCTGGCTTTTGACTAGCTGTGAAATGTTTTGGCACAGGACTCTGGTAACTAAGGCCGGCACCATTCTGGGGAGATACAGACAGCAGAATGGGCTTTCCATTTCAAAGCTACTGGTCTGTTAATCTCTACAAACCACCAAATGTGAACTGTATAACGAATACACATATTCCCTGTATGACTTGCCTGGGAATCACAGATTTTACGGTAGGATAAACATATGGTGCAAATGTTTCCCTGAATCTACTTCTGTAGTAGTGACCAACACATCTCTTTCCAGACTGAGATCACTCGAGCGGAAACACAAACTGACATTTCAATTTCACCTCCTGGTCAGATACAAGTGTCAGGTATTACAGCTGTATAAAGCCTTTACTCTCACACAGCACAGGACATAGCAGAGATGCATATTTATCAGGTGTAGTCTGGCTTTCTTCAGCGAATGCAGAGAGAGCTAACCACTTACATTAACACCACATTGTCTGGGTAATGACACACTTCACTCCCCAAATTCAATTCTCTCCCAGCTCTGCAATTTAGGTCTCCTAATCGAGTGCCTCCCAAGAGAAGTCTACTGAATCTAGCCTAGGGCCCTAGGAGCATTGTGGGGCATATAGTGGAATGGCTTAAATAGATACTGGCTAAATATAGCCACCATGAGATTGACTAGAGACAGAGGAGGGAGCATGCAGAAGATGGCCATGGGGAGCACAACAGAAGCAGAAATGTATTCTAAGGACAGTTTTAAAAGGATTACTTAAACTGCATCACAAAGCCGATGGCTTTTAACAGAGAGAAAATAAATTTCACTGCCTTGCAGTCTGTTTATACTCTCTGATTTTTTATGAGAAATATCCAATATAACCTGTAAAGCTTTGGGAGTCTGGGCTTCATCATATCTTCATACCCGTCATATTAAAAGATGCATGACACCCTGCCTGATCTCACTTTATTAACATCTTTTCAGACAAATAATAAGCTATCTTCAGTTCAGTTTATGTGCCACCTAAAATGCAATAGGCAATAGTGGACACCATTTTTTCTTGAGCTTAACAGCCGTAGGCCTTATCTTATTATCCTCATCTCAGCAGGGAAAAATTACCAAAAAAGGTCAAGGGAATAAAATACAGGACAGGCCATTAGGACAGCTATGTTGGGATGTCAGTAAACGCACCATAGCTAGCATGTTCACACACAGCATCAGCAACAAAGCAGCTGCTCATCAAATTATGTTGTAGCTTAACGTTAGATATACTGCTTTGAGAAAAGGGGTGTGAAGCCTGGGACAGGAAATGTCACATGAGAAACAAAATAAACAACAAGTCAAACTCAGTAATCACGTTTTCAACGTATTAAAGGCCAGTGTACGTAAGGTAACGTTACATCAACATATGGTTTAAAAGCAACGACATGTTTTAACATTAGCCGTTAGAAACAAAACTTTTAACCGTCATGTCGAGCAACCAGGAAAAAGTGAGATAAACGACGGTGGCGACGCAACGGAAGAACAAACAAAACAGACGTTGTTACTTGAAAGTAAACAAACACTAAGTTACATCCAAATTTAGGTCACTCTTACCGTGTTCCGTCGCTTTACTTCAGACCCCCACTGCCTGTCACAGATACAGCAGACACTTCTGAGTCTCACCATCCAACTTGGGAACTTAGAAAGTGCCTCCTGAACTTGCATGATCCACGCGCTCCTCGTCCAATCACAGACGGCATCAGTTCTAGTCCCGCCCCTCGCCCTCCTGCTCGACCAATGGCATTGCGGCGCCGCCGTTCCTCGCTGGGAAAGGCTCGAAGATGATTGACAAACGCAGGTGATGATGAGTATGTAAAACATACATGTTACATGCGATAACACCACCAGTCCTCGGCATATAACGCTGGTAGTCCACAGGCTTGGGCTGCTTCCAGGTCACAATATCCTCCTTTCCCTTATAAGACAGCTTGTAAAATGGATCCTGTTTCTGTTCAATACATAGGTCTTAAATTAGACCTCTTTGCAAACTGTGCCAAATTAAATAAACACAAGCCTTAAAATCTCAATAAAGCCACATAAGAGCTAAACCAAACTATTGTTATATCTTTTTTTCTTTTCTACAAGATTAACCACAACAAAATGAACAAACATGCAGACATAAAGGTAAGTCTTTTTCTAGTCATGAGTTCCTTTATTCAGTGCACACCAGTTTGTGTTGTACAGTGAACATCATGGGGTGCTATTCTTTAGTTAAACGCAGGAAGACCCTGACCCAGTCTCTCAGTGAACATTCGTAGTTTCTGGAAATGTTCAAGTGTATTTCCTGGAACCCAAGAAGAGCATCCTACAGACACTGAAAAACAGAGATAAAAATATCTTAACACACTACGTAATGTTATGATTTTGTACACATCATTGAAATTGAGAACCTCACTTTAAAAGAGCAGTGTGTAAGCTTTAGGGGGATTTAGTGGCATCTAGTGGTGAGAATTGAAAAGTGCAACCACCTGAAACTTCTCCCAGTTAGAATTCCTTTAGTGCTAAATGTTCAGGTTTTTACTGGGAGCCAAATAATGCGCAAAGGTTTCTTCCTCTTAAAAACAAATGGAACAGGTAATTAAACTGGTAAAAACTCTGAATAAATAAGTTTCAAGTTAAAAATCAGAGTTCCTTGGATGAGAAAGGTCACCAGCCCAGCACCTGCTAATGGGTGCTCACCTTATTTCTGATCCAGACGTTCAGGAGGTTTTCACCTGTAGTTGAATTACCCGCCATGGTCTCCTCCTCTCCAAAATAAATGTACCGGTGAGGTAAACCAGTAAAAACACTGAATGAAGCAGTTGGATGTTACAAATCAGTGTTTCTCCGACACTGTTCCACATGTCAGAGACTGCCCGAGCCTAGCACCTGCTGATGTGTCTGACAACTTCAGACGTTGAGGAGGTTTTCTCCGCAAGACGAATTATCCGCAGAGGTCTCTTCCTCTCCAAAACAAACAAACCAGGTGATTTAAAGTTGTTTTTCTGATGCTGTTTGTCACAGAGGGGCTGCTAACTATAGTGGCCGTCTAGAGCCAGTGTTCGGTTTGTCCGTTCTGGGCTACTGTAGAAACACGGCAGTGCAACACTGCGGACTTTGTGAACGAGGATCCGCTCCCTATGTAGATATAAACGTCTCATTCTAATGTAACGAAAACACAGTGATTCGTATTTTCAGGTGACTACACACTAAAGAAAACATACTTATTATATTATATTCCATTTCTGCCAACGTATCCCCCTAAATCCTACACACTGGACCTTTAAACAGTATAAAACCTAAATTGTATTACATAAATTAGACAGAGTGTGCTAAAGTACATAAGTGGTTGTTTGTTGTCATATGACATATGAGACAAGACTTATACTTACCAATGCTTTGCCAGCACCGCCGATCAAACACTCCATTCCCGATGAAATAAAAGCTGGTTGAAATTACACTATAGGTGCCAACAGAGAAAAGGGGGAAAATCAATGTTTGACCACTTGATCTACTCTCACTTTCAGTCCTTCAGTCCAGGATCTCCTTGATGCACCAGCAACAGAGAAGGAAATACAAGCACTCCTTAACCGACTGGATGAAACTGTAGGCGAAGTTTCCTCCCAGGAAGTTCTTGCCTCTTCCCAGACCCATGGCCAGGTCCCTCAGGTGCTGTCCCAGAGAGGAGGAGGGCATGGCCTGGGGAAGAGGACGCTGGGGATGCATGGCTGCGGAGAGGGAAAACGAAGCAGAGGCAACAAAGAGGGCAGTCGATGAGAAGAAATAGGAGGTGAGGTCTGACAAATTGGATCAGACTGGGCCGTGCAACAGCTGAGGTCTGCTCCGTATTCCTGGCACAGATAGCTCCTCTACTTATAACCTCCTATACGAGCTGCGGGCCATTCACATCCTGCTTTTTCTCGACTGTTCCCTGCTTTCAAACATCCGCTGATTGATTAAAGGCCTTGTTTACCTTTGCTGCGCACTGCTCCCCTCTGTTGTATAGCACCCCACACACAGGCTCTCCCTAGGTTCTAATAATCCCTGAATCAGCCCCCTGCTGTTCACAAACAAGAGAGTTCCAGTAGCTCCAACACAACTCCCACTGCAACCCACTCTTTGTTCAGGACACTGTGTGACAGGTGATAATACCTTCCAGCAGTGTGCGCTCTGTTGTTTCATTTTCCATCAAAGTTTTTAGGTGTACTTTGATAGAACGATGAGTCGGATCTTAAAAAGCCTATCCAACAAAGTGATAAACACTCAGTGAACACACACACACACTTATCATATCAAAAGCCAAACTCACAAAGACAGATGAATGATATATGTATTTATATATGCAATCTATATTTTCAGATACAGGTGTAAACAGAAATGTTTCCCTAAAAACAAACAAACAAAAAAAAGGTATTAAAACAGAAACATATAAAGTAAAAATCAATATCTGTGCACACTATCTGAAAGTAACCTTTGGCTTTCACAAATTAAAAGTACAACAGCATCATTAACACTATCACCACCACCGACAACGACAAACAACACGTTTCTTTGAAAGGATTTTTCATGCAACAAAGGCATCTGTGATGAATGATAACACGGGACTGGTTCACTAATGATGCAGAGGGTCAGGTGGGTCTGTTTCAGAGCACACACAAACGCATACAGAACTAAAAGGGATGTTTCAGAATTTTTCAAGTGGAGATGTATGTGGTACTTATCAATAGAGAGTATATTACACACACTTATATTACATACACTTGATGTCAGTTGGCATGTCCTTGGTTCAGAAAAGCAGGCTGGAGTCTGACATAAAAGCTAAGCAAGCTACTGCTGTGAAGGAGTCGGCAACAAAACGAATTTTAGCATCTTAAAGAAAGTCCAACCTAAAAAATATCATCATCAGTTTAAGTGTGTGCTATATTTGTAATATTGTCACTGCTTAACCTTGAAGTCAGACAGTGATTTCCAACAGGAAAATGAAGCCGTTACGTCGCTCTCTTCCAAGCCAGACTCCATTGAGAAAAACAGTGATTTAGCATCGCTGTACACAGGAGCTGCTGATCTACCACTGCCTTGAAGAGTTATTTTGTTTGTCTTATTGTGTGACTTAGGTGCTTAAAACGGTTACTTTGGATTCACCAAAGATGCACCATAACACAAACTAACTAACTGAATGAAGCAGCTTTAAACAAGCAGCTCCTGTATTCAGCAGGATTAAATTACTGTTTTTGTCAAGGGAGTCTGGTGGCTTTGCCAAGAGCAGAGATGGAGAACTGAAGCTGCCTCCCGATCACAACAGGCTGTCTGACAGAAAGGTAAAGCAGTGAAAATACACTTTATATAGTGGAAACTTAAAGTGATAGTGAGGTTTTTTTGGTAGGACTTTTTTTTTTTTAGGTAGCTAAAATACGTTTTGTTACTAACCTCCATCCACAGCAGTACATTGCTTAGCTAAGCTTCTCCAACTGACTTCTGCTGTATGTCATACACCAACTATGGATAAGTACCCCATACAACCCCATTTCAAAAAATCCAAACTATCCCTTTAAAGCTCCAGGTTCCCATCTGACCTACAAACACCTGAACAGGCAGAATGTGAGCGTCTGACTGACCCAGCTGTCACTCTGGCATGTTTGTGCATGTTAGATTACATATGAACCCACTTTAGGGTCTAAAGACTAGTTGACAGTTAAGGTTTAGGCTGAAACGTCCCTTCTCGTATTTCATGAGTTTGGCCTCGATCTATCTTTGACAAGTTCAACTGATTTACAAAGAGCTACCTCAGTGCTGTGGAGTCTGTGTTATTGATCAAATGAGTCATTAAAGATACAACAATGGAAACAATAATCCAATCCTAAAATGACCGCTCAAATGTTATTTACAGATGGTCAGGAAATACCCCCTCCCAATGGTGACATCAAGTATCTGTGACTATAAGCTGAATGCAAGAATGTGCATCCAAGGAGATTGCCATCACTGGATCTGTTCGCATGTGTTTATTGGAGTGTCATTTTTGCAAGTCTTTGTTTAACTGAGAGGCTTGTGTAAGATTCTCCTGTAGTCCACTACATTTGAATTAAGTACATAAGGTGACTGCATTGAAGTGATGTGACTGCATTGAAGAAACAAGGCACAATTAAAAACATATATATATATAAAAAAAACATCATGAACTGAGGGAGGAGGAAGAGTAAAGGAGAAACAATAGCGTGAACTTCTCCCCCCCTCAGATCCTCAAAAGTTTGTGAAAACAGCACACTGAGGAGCAACATTTGGCTTTAACATTAGCAATGCTCCAGAAACATTTATGTCCTTATGTTCAGTTACCCCGAACCATTTCTTTTTTTCTTTTTTTCTTTTGTTAAAGGACATTATTCCCTCAAGTGATTAAAAAATAAAGCAACATCATGATACACATAATTACCTAACCATTACGATGACATATTTTGCATCATTTTTGCAGAGGGGAATTCATCGCGCTCAGACTGTTCAACATTTCTCATTGGCCGTAGTTTAAAGGGGTCTTCTTTATCTGCTTTCCTTTGCTTTCAGTCAGAATCCTCTTTAAAAGATATAACCCATAGATTGTCAGTGCAAACACATGCTAAGGAAAAGCATCAGGTCTATGCCTCTCAACATATACTTGTATCTGTGTTTGTGGGTGACATCAATGAACTTTAAAAATCTCCTTTTTGTTGATGTACTCAGGCACAATCACCTAGATCCTTCTCCCCTCTAAAACAGGCCCGTTCCATTATGCAATCCAAGTCTAAACTTGCACGCAATGCTGTAAGCACACAAAACAGATAACTGCTGATAATCGTCATGGCTTTCTCTGCTGTTAGCGACCGAGTTCATGATCTTTGGCATGACAGGTGGTGCGGGCCGTGCGTGGTGTAAAGGTGTATGTGCATCTGTGTTTATGGAGGGATTAGGGAGATACAGCTGTTTAGATCCTCCTGAACTCAGAGTGTCCGACAAGTAATGAATCCCGAGATAACAGAAAAAAAAGAGAACATCATCATTGGCATAGCAGTCCCCAAGTTTTGCATACAGGCTTTCATCATCACCAGGTATCACTCCAGGGGTCAAAGTTCAAACGTCCTCAAAGGGGAGTGGTCAGGGGGAGGGTGGCCCTCCTGATTAGATTGGAAGCAAACACATTTATGCATATTCACCAGGCAGATTTTTTTTTTTTTCAAAGTCAGGTTTGCTGCTTAAGTGCTCCAGTGACACTTGAAGGGGAGAGTTTATGTTCGAGCCCGGTTCAGTCTGTGATACAAAGAACAATCGCCATCCAGTCTGTGATTTGCCTGATATGCTCCAGCAACAGTGTGAGGAGGGAAATCAGCTCCCCGTAAGAAATGACACATGCTTACAAGCACTGCAAATCTTATTTCCGAGTCCCATTTATGCTCCTTTCTTCACTTTTCAGTTCCACATTTCTTTTTGTACAAGGATTCATGTATTAGTAAAGTGTCCATTTTTTTATTTTTCATAAATCGCATGTTAAGGTTGTTTTTTTTTCTCGTAACAAAAGAAAAAAAAAAGCATTTATTTTCTGCCCCGTTCTGAAAGGGCTCCTCCCTGGTTCACAGTAGGCTGTTGAGAAATTGCAGCAGTGCTTCTCCATTGTGGAGGGATGCACCTGATAGTTTTGGAAGAGGGGGGGGGGGTCGAAGACTGCAGGTCACAGTTTGGCTTTCAGAAAGGACAGAAATATGTGGCATCAGCAGCAAGTGAGTGATTTTACAGAGAAACTAGTGATTTTTCTTTCTTTTTTTGGCTTTCTTTGCAAATGGTGTGTGTGCATGTGGAATCTTGTATATGTATGTGTGCATGGTAAGTGTAGTGTTGCTGTGTGTATTATAGCATAATGCAGGTGTGTTTGTCTTGTGTTGAATTGCTGCAGGAGTGTGTGTGTGTGTGTGTGTGTGTATTTGGTGGAGTATTTCATTGGCGTGTGTGACGTCAGGCCCTGCGCTCTACTGGCTGTTGCAGACACACTTCGCTACCAGCTGATACGATGGGGAGTCTGTTGTCCATGTGGTAACTGATCAGGTGACTCACGCTTTCAAACCGATGGTCTTTTGTACGGACCTGAAAGACACAAAAAAAAGGTATTAAAGGCAAGTTTAAAGGGCGTTTTTAAGGTTTTTAATTAATTCTGTAGCTTCCTTCCTAGTGTTTCTTAAGTATTCAAATCTGAAAATTCAAATTTTGGTTCAAGTGTGTGTGTGTTTTAGTGTCAAAATGCTGACATCGTGGTGACATCCCTACACATAAACCCACATATTGCTGTGGATGCCACATTAGCTTGGTTCCAAAAGTCACACAATTACACAAACTATTGAGCTGGCTGTAGAGCAGCAACTCCTGTGTGCTGTGAGGTCAAATCACTGTTTCTGTCAAAGGAGTCTGGTGGCATTGAGGAGGCTGATTGAGCAGCTTCAGTTCTCTGTCGGAAAGGGCTGTATGACGGCAAAGTAAAAGTGGTAAAAATAATCTAAATATAGCATACACTGAAACTAATATTGATTTTTTTTTTTCAGTTGGTCCTCGTTCAAGTGGCAAAATATGCATGGCTGCTACCCTCGTCCACTGCCACCTGACACCTTTGACAAAAACAGGAATTTTATCTCACAGAACACAAGGAGTTGCGAACTGACTGCTTCCTTTGATTGGTAAGTTAGTTTGTGTTTTTGTGTGACTTTCAAAACCGAACTAACGCGGCATCCGAAGCAGTAAGCTACATTGTTTAGCTTTTGTGTCTCGGTAGTCCTGTCTGCTTCCCCAAACTGGGACTGTGCCGATTGCCACCTACTGAAGAGTAATACACTGGCTATGGGTCTATGAATGTAATACAGTATAGTGAGCCCCAGTACGTCTTCACCAGGTTAAATAAAAGTTGAATAATAATAATAAACAGCACCATCTTCTTCCTCCGAGCTCAAAACTTCCAAGCTAACACTTTCCTTGCTCTCCATGCTTACACTGTCAGTGAACTGCATGTGTGGGGGCTGAGGGAGAGAAGGGCATAAGCGCTGTAACCTACACCTTTGTGCTAACGGCTGAGTGGGAGTTTCCATTTGAAAAACACAGAAAAGAATGCAAATGGACCTGCCTTTTAAATTCATACACACCTATACAGCCATGTGTTGGGAAAACATGACTTAAAGGTGATGTATGAAATTCTATAGGAAGATAGTTGATTGTTGAGTCTCATTCCCAAGTTAAATACTTTGGGTTGGTGACTCGGAGTGAGACTCAACAATCAGCTACCTTTCTAAAGAGTTACAGATATCAGATATAGCACCTTTAAAAATAGCCAAAGCCCATTCATGCCTCTCCCTCCCCTTTGTAATCTCTCTTGGCCTTATGATTTTCCCCTCCCGCTCTGACTCACCACTCCTTCTGGATCAACTAGTAGCAGGTGTTTGGGCTGACCGCCCTGCTGTCCGGTGAGGACGTACTGTCCGGGCGTGGTCCCGGACTCTCGCACCAGGAAGTCCCCGTCACGGGTCAGCAGCCTCTCCGCTTCCCTGCGACTTAAGCTACCGTGGAACCAGGCCTCGCACTGCAGCTGCTGCACCAGAGGGGGCGCTGCTGTCGCTGAGCTCGGGCCACCGTGCCCAGACACTCCCAGGGCATCATCGAACGGCTCTTGAAAAATAAACACACATATATTTGTATTATTGTATTTCTCTGCTGAAAACCTCATGCGCATGTCTATATAGGAAAATGAATCTTTTTATTTAGAGCCAAAATGACTGAGCCTTATCCAAGTGAGCCACATGAATTGACAGTTGCGTGCTGCACACTGATAGAGGACTGTGTCTTTAATGTGAAAGGCTTTACGCAGTCAACCAATCATGTTACATAAAATGCCCCCTGTAATGGACAAAGGCACTCTAATTCCCTTATCTTCCTCCAAGGCTGCCTTCTGCGGGCAGCTCCACTCTTCAATTAGCTCGTCATATGGAATGTACAGTACACACTACTCTGCTCATCCCCTCAGTCAATAATTAACCCTTATTCTGTCCACACGGTAAAATAACTGCACATTTGCTTTGGCAGTAATCCTGGTCATTTTGATTACACACATCTTGTCATTTAGAGAAATTATGCCATCACCTTTTCCAGTTATTTAGAGGATTAGTTATGTGCACTACTTGTGTGTTTTTTAGATAGCAGTCCCTTTAGCTTGATTTATTAATATGATATTGCCAATACAACGCAAGGAGACAGGGTGAGGCACTCACTCATGTCAAAAGCATCTCTGTGAGCATTTCCATTAGCTGCAACTGGGGGGCGGGGTTTGTCCACATTGACGTATGAAGGGTCATCGAACAGTTCCCGTCCCCCTTCTTTGGCACCCACTGGAAAAAAAAGGCAGACATCAGTGACCTTGGCACATCTTCCTGTTCCTATCAGCACATGAAATGGTATTTAAACCAAACATGAGTAGAGATGGAGTGTGACTGAATTGTGACAACCTTCCACAGATTTACAGTGACTAACAGAGAGGTGCAGACAGAGAGGCAGGCTGAGACTCACCTGGTAGAGGCGGCAGAGGCTGCTTGTGAATGTCATTCTGGCCTGGCTGTCCATACGGCTGCAAACACAGAGACATACAAACAAATAATGAGTCACAGTCACATGTGCGTTCTCTTGTGTATGTACACAAATGGATTCCTATTAAAAGGGTTACACAAAAGGTCAATGATGATTTGTCTATGACAAACCGAGCAATTCCAGCTGGGTTACTACTGCCTTTTAATTGTCTCCGCCCACAACTAGGAAATTCTGAAACACACTCTAGAGCTGTGAAATTCCTTACAAGTGTATCATCTCTTAACTGCAGCACGAGCAGTGTTTGGACGTGTTGAAGCATGAGTATCTCATCCTCCTGTTGTGTTTGTGTGCACTTTTCTCACCAGCGTGGCACCTGGGCGGGTCCTCATGTCAATCAGTCCACCAGGGGGAGGCTGTTTTCCAGGAAAATTATTATAGTACGGGACGTCAGGAGGTGGAGCAGCCTCATCGTCTTCTTCCTCCCATGCAGAGCCGTCAAACGGAGCCATTCTGAGAGGAAAAGGAGAGATACAAAGGCAGAAACAGAATATGGGTGAAAAAATACAAACACAGGCTCGTGTTTTGGGCTCATGTGAGGGACATTTTTCACATTTACCTGTCATGAGGTGTGACCAGTTTAGGGGGATTCTTTAGGTACTGTTTAAAGCGCAGTTCAAAGGCCTGGCCGATGGTGCTGATGACTTCCTGGGCTAAACCCTCTGAACACTCCAGGATGTGACATGCTGAAACAGAAAAAGGCACAAATGACTAATAAGGAAGCTGCAGCGACATGTACTCAAATTAAATTTGCACTCATGCAGACAAATATAATCAACTGCAGGCAACATTTAAACTTGTGTTGCCATGTGCATTTTCAGCAGCAGTGCATTCATGTACATGTGCTCTGCTAATGGATGCAAAGAAACATTGCATGTATTTCACTTAACACACTCTAGTTTTCTCTATTAAGGGGACCTACTATGCTTTTTTTTATTTCCTGTCATATGTTAAAATGTTGGTTTTCCATACTAAACATGGCCAAAATTTTAAATAATGAGATAAATGAATGTAAAAGTAATCCCTATGAGCAAAAACCTCAGGCTTTACAAGTTCTGAACTCTACTTTCGAGACAAGCTGACGCCAGCTCTTGAAGGATTTCTTTACATGTTTACATTAGCCCACACTGCTACATGTAGCTACATGCTATCAACAGGGAAAAAGATAATCGTAGCTGCTTGTGTTGTTAATTTCTCCCCAATTTCAGATCATATTCCTGCTGGAACATGTGCAGGTGAGTTGATTTTGGTTTAGTGTCTTTTATTGGTGATCTTTCACAGCAGAAAGCGCCACTATTTTCCATTACAGTCATTCTGCGGCTGCAATCATAGTGCAGAGACATAGTAGCCCCTTTTACACTGCCAGATTTTCGGTGAATGTTGGGCCGTTTTGCCGGAAAGCTGCGAGCTTTTAGACACACAGGATTGGCAAGATGATCTGAGGTGCCCAATTTTCCGCCTCGTAGGGTAGTCATATTGGTGAAACCCTTTAGTTTAAAAAGACCAAGGCGGCCTTCTGCAACGGGAGGGGCTGTTGATGACGGCGCACATGTGAGCCACTGGCGGTGGATAAAAAGGAAACAGCTGATAGCAGGAATTAGCGAGCAGCTAGTAGCAAGAGGGAAACGCAAACCTGACAGACACTGTAAAGATGAGCAAGTGGGGAGACAAGGAATTGTGCACCCTCCTTGTCTTCGCAAACGAAGAGGCCATTAACCGTCAGATGACGGGAACGGTGAAGGATGGGCCGACTTACGAGAGAATCGCCGAAGGACAGACTAGCTGCACCGTCACAAGCTGAGCTACACGTTTTTTTACTTGCTCACACCCCCTATTGCCCGAAAAAGACGCATTCTGTATAAACAAAAGTAGGTAGGTGACATTTTGCCGATTTTGTTTTTATATAGCCAATGCTGAAAAAAGACTGATTGGGCTTCTCTGCAAATTTGCACAATTCCTATCTAAAAAGGGCTAGAGATACAGAGAACCCGTACACGTTAACCAATCAGAGCAGACTGGGCTTTTTCGGGAGGGTTGCTTAAAGTAAAAGGCCCTAAAACAGAGCGTTTCAGTGTTACAGCACAGAAAGTATGTGGACATTTTTTTGAACATTAAATCATGTTCCTGTAGAAACCTTAAATACAAGTACAATCCTGAGGGCAAAAAGGAGCAGGTCCGATTATAATTGCAGAATTACAAACAGAAAACATGAATAATATTTAAAGTGGTGTTACTTTTTGGTAGGAGCTTGTAATGTAATCCTAATCCCATTTTCACTATTTTTTTTTTCAGTTGCTCCTGCGAGCTCTGTGAGAGCAAAACTGAGAATCCTGTTTTTTCCCACCACTGCTTGGAAAATCAAGCCACATGTTCACATATTTATCACATAAGTGCGAACAAAGCATTATTCACCAAACAATTAAAAGCAGTGCTGTTACTTGCTATGCCTACTTAGTGGTAAATGTTCTGTTTCTTCCTTCGCTCTGCACAGTGGGCCTGTAATGTCTCAGCTCCAGTGGGTGGTGTGTCAAATTCAAAGGAGAGCACCAAAATGAATAGAGCCATGTCATTTATTTAATAGGATTCATTTATATTTCAATAAAAATGTCTTGCTCTTATTTATTTACAGTATTTGCTGTTTCACCACCCAGTGGGACTGAATGTAGGGAGAATCTGCAACACATGTACCACAGGATCAAAGTCAGAGTTCTGCGCAACATCACTTCAATATGATTTTTTAAAAGTGTGGACTTTGTCAGATTCTGCCTGAGTGAAAATGTCTCTTAGCTGTTTCTGCTCACCTCTCTGGTTGACTGGATCTTTGGCCACATATGCTACGTACTCAGCTGTATCCTGAGGGAGACAGGGTAAGACAGTTAGGGGAGGAGGGGGAAGTGGGGGGGAATTGATAGGAAGAAAAAGTGAAGGGCAGGTTTAGGATAGAAAGACTGAAAAGAACAAGGAGGAAGAGACAAAGCAAAAGCTGTAGTCTTTAAGTCACAACAGGAGTTAAAAACACACATTGAGCTGAAAGAGAAACGACAGGAAGTAACAAGATCGAGCTCAGACGAGAAGGACTGCAAACCCGGCGAGGCAGTAATGGAGTGAGTGGCATTCATAGGAACAGACAATGACAGAAGACAGGAAGGAAGAATATGCAGACTGAAGAAAGATGGAAAAAGGCCAGAGTGAGATCTGAGCTGAGAGAGAGGGGGAGTGACTCACTGGGTCTCCTCCAGAGGCGAAGGAGATGGACTGCATGTGATGATTGGCGATTATCTGTGGAGAAAAAGAAAGAGAGGGAGGAGAGGGAGACAGAAGGAGAGCACGTGGGTGACATGAAGTATGTGGGAAGTGAGATGAAAGCATGTGGATGGAGAGACAAATGTGGAATCATTACTGAGAAAAGTGCTTTTTCCCCTCCACTGAGCGGCATCAACTACAGCCGAGATAAAAACTAAGTGGGACAATGGATGGAACACCTTTTTAACAGTCTGCTACAACCGCCTGCGCTGGATCAATAACACCATCAACACTTGCTAATGCCCCGTGCACAATGTGTGGTCTATATCTGAGGCTTTATTTGTGAATGGATATATGCACGGGGCATGTCTCTCTGCTCTGCGTGTTAATGTGGGTGCACTGCGCCGCTGTGTACCATCTCCCCAAAGAAATAAACATCATTCAGCAGCTATTAACTCATAGGAGGAGGATCGCATCCTGCCCTGTGGCGATGCAGAAATGAAGACGATGGTTAGGAGTGATTTGCGCTGCATCCAGAATAAATGAGGCAAACAAAGTGGAGAGGCTCTAAATTTATCTGGGCATCCCCAAAAGGTCACAATGCACAGTGTGCTGATGATCAAATTATCAAAATAAAACCTTGTGTTCGGTGGTGGTTTATTGAAACATTTCCTTGGTGTCAAAGTCAATTTAAAGTGTTTTTTTTTTTTTTTTTTTTACATCATTTAGGTTCAACCTTCTGTGAAATTTCAGCCAACTAAAATCTGATTATGTCATTAATTAGAGCATGAAAGCAGTGGGGAATGATTTTCATGCATCTTTTAAAACAAACCCTCGACAATCAGGGTTCCTACAGCTTATGGCAAGATAGATTTAAGACTTTTTAAACTGTCACTCTGAATACAATTTGAAACCAAATCTTACCATGACCAAAACTGAATTTAAAATAAAAACAAAGGGGGGAAATGACAATAATTACTATGGGTTAGGGACATTCATTCATTTTCTTTAATTGCTTGTCCTGTTGGAGGTCATGGGGGTGCTGGAGCCTATCCCAGCTGACACTGAGCGTGAGGCAGGGTACACCTTGGACAGGTCACCAGACTATCACTGGGCTGACACATAGAGACCGACAACCATTCACACTCACATTCACACCTACAGCCAATTTAGAGTCACCAATTAACCTGCATGTCTTTGGACTGTGGGAGGAAGCCGGAGCACCTGGAGAAAACCCATGCTGACACGGGGAAAACATGCAAACTCCACACAGAATGGCTCCCCTACCCCAAGGTTCGTACCAGGAACCCTCTTGCTGTGTGGCAACAATGCACATCCCCAAGCTGTCCAGGGCAACATGGGAATGTGCATGTTGCCCTAGCTAGCAATAGGCTAGCTAGCAGCCAGTGAATCCTTTGCTCTGAGCATCCTGACCTGAAACAAAATATGAGTGTAGCTGGTTCCTTTATCCTGATCTGCAAGATTTAATGTGAGAGGCACTCTCTAAATTACTTAAAAAAAAAGATGTTACCAATTATTTTTAATTTTATTGCGACTTATTAATAATATTAATAAAATCCTCAAATGTCTTAGCGTTTTTAAGACTTTTAAAAGAATGATTTACAATATTTAAGTACCAATTAAGGCCTTATTTCTTAGATAATGAATTCACTGTCTTTTAAGACTTTTTAAGGATCAATAACGACGCATTTTACAAACTTAAACTTGTCTTTGAAAGACAAATATAAAATGTTAAAAATGACAAAAAATGGGAATGCTACTTTTTTTACATTGGAATTGCCGTTCTAAAGTTGATCTTGAAAAAACATGTCTGCATAATCCTTAAATCCACATCAAATCCCTCAAGCAGAGAGATCCTCAGGTTTACTCTACTCCAGTAAACTGCACAGGCTAAGTGCACTCTGGATACCAAACATACCTCTGGCTACAACAGAGCTCTGACAATCAGATGCATCTCTGACTCACAGTCAAATCTCTGGCGGTCAGGGACAAATCTCTCAGAGTTTTTTTGAGGAAAAATAAACACAGGGGCTTCCAGAGTGAGCTGGTTTCAGTCTAACCTGTTTGCAGTCGGAGGCCAGCAGGTTGAGGCTGCTGGTCGAGATGGTGAGGCTGATTGTCATGCCGGCAAACTGCAGGTTACTCTTCCCCAGGATGGACGTCATACAGCGAGAGGAGGGCTGCGAGGGACGGGGATGCAGTCCATGAGTTACAAACAAACAAGGTGCACAAACAGAAAACAACAGGCCACGTTTTTTTTTTTTTTTTTCACTTCAACAAGGCACGATAGTCCATTGAGTCCTCCCTGACTGTGCATGAGCCTGTGGGCGTATGTGTGGAAATGCCTGTGTGTGTGGGAGTGGAAGAACAGCTGCAATTGTGAAAGTGATCCTGTCTCCAAGGCCAACTGTGACCAATGGGGAGCAGACAGGACAGTTCACATACTGAAGGCTGGGCCAAGAGCATCAGGCAGGCCACGCCAGCACTATAGTGCCAGCCTGTTTATCCCAATCCTCCTCCTGTTCTCATGGCTTTCATCCATGTCTGCTTCAGAATATTTGGCATGTGCTGTGAGAAAAACAGCATCAGGGCAGGATGCACACGCTCAGCCACATTAACCTCAGTCCAGCCAAATCAGAGAGACTAGACTAGTTTAATCTATTCTAGTTTACATCCTATAGCTGTGCTTTGTCTGGTATGCCAGACATTACTTGGTCAAACCCTGCTACGGCAACAGGCTGCTGGATTTAGCCACCTGTTTTACGAACTGTTTGGGTGGATGTTTTTAGTTTTACAGAAATACTGTGTGCAGACACACGCAGTCTTTACACAGCAGACTGACGGCTGTGTCTGCTCATCTGTAGCGCTTCTCTGGCCCGACGCTGGCTCCACACAAGCTACTACTCCACCTCTCCAGCCTCCCTTGTGACAAGAGGGCGGGAAAAGGGAGACCAGAGAGTGATGGGTAATTACCTGCGAGTAGCCCGCTAACCACAGAAGTGTACAATCAGCCTAAATCAAGATCTGCACGTGTGTGTGGGAGAGTGTGTGACTGAATAGCCAACTGACCACAGACTGGACAATCAAGCTAAATCTAGCTCTTATCCAGAAAACCCTCCCCTCTGCTGCCCACTTAAGCCGTATAAATAAATAATGTCCTGTAAGGGTGTGTGCTCGTGTGCGTGCTGTGTACCTTTCTCCTGCGCTGGGCTCCTTTGGCTCCGGGCACGGCCTCGCACACCACAGAGATGGCCTCCCTGAAACATCGACAACATGCAAGCGGTGCAACAGCACGGCATTAACCCTTGCACCTTCCCGGACTCACAATTATATAGCAGCGGGTGATCGAATTTATCGTCCCTGAACTGTGCTCGTCTTTACCACGGAGACAAACATCACTACGGAAACCAGAAGGAAACCACCAGGATTCCAGGACGTTCTAATTTAGGGTCTGAGAGAGCTGCAGGCGTGTATACACACACATGCACACATGAGCAGATGCAGTCTGACACTAACTCAGAGAGAAACAAGCTAGCGAAAGAAAGAGAACAGAGAGCAGGCAGACAAAGAAATATGTGAGAGGTGAGCTGTGTTTCTCTATGTCTGGCCACACTTTTATTACCTCGCCCCCCCTGTGCAAAGGAGAAATTAAAGCAACACTATGCAAGAATCAGTATTTTTTAAATTTGACATCACTACATTCACTGTTGTAAATACAGGGTGGCAAGCTGTTTATACCATCCTGACAGAAGCCGTAGTGAGCTATCCCACAGCTAACAGGAAAACTACAGTCCGACAGCAGAGTGTACAACCCTGCCAATGTTGTCTGTGAAAGTTTGCAACGTAGGCGGTAACACTATTGGCATCATCTCTGTCTGGAAAAGTCTCATGAACAGCTGTGCACGAGCATTTGCTGACAAGTTGAAGGATGTGTACCCAGCAAATATGACATTAAAGAACCATGTCCACTCACAGAGTAGAGTAACGTTACAAGACTGCATAGTTTTATTTACTGTGACATCAGAAGACATTAAAGGAATAACAAAAAGAATGACATGAAGAATGACAGCTCCCGTTTTCATTTTCAGTCCATATACATAGTGTGCTAAGAGTTTAAATGTGACTTTTGGTGTCTGGAAAAACTACAAAACCCTGTGAGGCTAGGATGACGCCAATAGGGTTACAGCCTACATCAAATACGTTCATGCATAACATTGGCTGGGATGTACACCTTGCTGTCGGTAGGGCTGCCCCTTGAACGGAGGAGATTCAAATCGTCCGTCGGGGACCCCTCAGTCGACCGAAGTTGCTTCAAGTCCAGCAGTTGTATTTCTGGGGACGTTTTGGCCCCCAGATTCTGCTACTCTTGACTTTCACACTACTCTTTGGTACAGACAGCTGTGGACGTGATGCAGCGGCACAGAGGAGGAGAAACTTTCCACTGTAAGACTCCAAGATAACATTATCTTCCCTCTACTGTTTAGAAGTGGTGAATTAACAGCTCACAGATACTTAATACGACAGTCTCTGGCTTTTGTTTGATATCTAGTGTTGGCACAAAATGTTGTTGCACATTTCCGATCTGTCATTAGCGCTATTAGCATGTTTACTATATTACATGAATGCCGCTGTCACATTGAACGTCCCGCTGAGTTCATTCATAAGGAAAAGGAAAGGAAAAAAACAAAAATCATAACACCGAATTGTCAAATATTCGTAATTAACAGCCAAATCTGATTTGGCTGACATAATTCTTAGTCAGGTACAGCTCTAGCTGTTGTTCTAGTTGTCGTTTTCCCATGAGGTGTGAGACAGATCACTACCACTATTGTAACATGATATTGTTCCGGATTCAGCCATGCCACGAAGTCTCTGATATATAGCCAATTTTCATTGAATTTGCACTTCCCTGTGTCCTTCAGGGTACAGTGACAGCTAGCTAGCACACAGTGGATCATCTGTTCTGGGAGGAAATAAAATGAGTGTTGTTGGTTCCACTATGCTGATCTGCATGACGTTAACATGGGTAAATTATCTTGTAAAAATTACCAATTATTTTGAGATTTTATAATGTAACACCAGAAAAAACGATCCATAAACTCCCAAGCATTTTTAAGACTTTTGAAAGGTATCTTATTACCAATGGAGGCCTTATTTTTAGATTAATGTATTCAATTCCAAGACTTTTTAAGGATCAGTGGGAACCCTTTCTTTTCCACCTTTACTGAGACAGCTATACAACATGTACACAACAAATTCACCAGAGGCAGGGGGGCGAAAGGTTGTAATAAAAAAAGATAAAAAGAGCTAGCTTTTTCTTTTTCTTATAGCTAGCTGGAACTGTGTGCACCATAGTGCCCGAGATCCTACCCACTTGCCAAAGTTGCATAGTACAGGAACAGGCATTCAAGCCATGAAGTGGGAATGAAAGAGACACTATTCTTCCTGTTGCAAGTCAGTGTACCATCTCAATGATGTTAAAGCTGCTACTTTCAGAAAAAAGTTGCATACTGTTGCTTTAAATGGGAGAAATGGAAGCAAGCGGCTCATATTCAGTGTGTAATCTCACCTGGTGACCTGAGTTCTGGTGTTGAAGTCCAGCGCTCGCATTGACTGTAGCACCTCCACACAGCCCATGTACTGCTCAGGAAACAGGAAGGCAACACATTAGCATCAGACATTTCCTGCATCACAGTCCCTTTGGACAGATGGAGCACAACAGATGAAAGAAAGCCTTTCCTTGTGTCTGTGTCAGTTTCTAAAAATGTGAGAGCAGGGTGTATATGTGCAAAGAAACTGACTGGAAAGAGAGATGTGTAATTATGCATTTTAGCTGGGGGTTAGTGAGAGTGTGCCAGTCCCTTACCCGTACACTGTATGAAACACCGGTGGTGCTGACCACACTGTCGGAGTGCAGCCAGCCGCGGGTGGGCTTGTTGACAAAGGAGCCATGGCGCGTCCACTCATCTCCTCCCAGCTGCCCTCCTTCCACCCGTGCCCTCCTGGCCGCCACTCCCAGCCGGTTCATGTCCTGCAGAGGAGGTCGGGGAGGGGGAGAAGGAGCGGTTAAAGGGGGAATGGGGTGATGAAACGGAGGGGAGGAGCTAGAGCTGCTCCGGTCGTCCCCGGAGGACTCAACAGGCGCTTGAGGCTGCTGCGGCCTGCTTGAGGCCTTGAGTCCTGGGAGAAGGGTGGCAGAGACGCCCAGGCGAAGGGATCCCATCCTGGGGAAGAAGGAGCAGAGGGTGGTGGGGCTGTTCTCAGCCGGGCGGGGAGAAGAGGGGGGCAAGATGGGAGTGAGAGACGAGGAGGAGAGAGAAGAAGGTAAACCAGGGGAGGGAGTGAGCGGGGTGGCAGGACTGGAAGGAGGGAACGGTGATGGATTGGAGTTTGTTTCATCAGTTGAGCTCAGCGATTCACTCCGAAAGTGGGTGTACTTGGTTTTTGGGACAAGCTCCATAATGAATCTGCAGCGTCAGTTTTTATATCCGCACAAGTCCACACAGGCTCTAGTGATTCAATCAAAGTCTCTTTGTCTCAGTATTCAAAGTTTTTCTCTAAAAGGACACACAGCCATCTGTCTGTCTCCCTCAGCGTAAGAGCCGCATCCATCTGTCTGGTTGTCTGTCCTCCGCTCATCACCAGGCAGCCGAAACCAAACTGCTTTACAAACGGCTTTACCCACAATGAAAGCAGAATGAGGAGAGGCGCAGAGGAAAAGTGGGGTGTCCCAGTTAAGGTTGGAATGCAGATGAAAAAAGTTTGTTAGTAGTGCACCAGTGCGGATCATGTTGTCATCAGTTCACTTTTAAATCTGCATCAGTGTTAATTGTGTTCCCAGGGACTGATGATGACGACACGATCTTAGCTCTCCAGAAAGTGTTCATCTTGGTGTTTTTGCCATAATGTAAAACAATATCTGTGAGTATCTTCTCCCAACTTAATAGCCTCTCAGTGAGGGCCGGTTATCCAGCTGTCGGCAGCACCATGGAGAATCAACACAAGTGATTGTCTCTCAATGCCCCCCTCGCATATGCGTCCTACTGCACTGAGGGGTGCATTCTTGTATGTGATGTGTTTACATGCGTGTGAGGCAGTATAAACCTTCCCTGCCCACAATGCTTCTTAGATTATCTGTGTAAATGTGTGTTGGCGCGCGCACATGCATGCATGTGTGAAGCGGCTCCCCTTGGCAGCTCTATCCTGCTTGACACGGGCCCATAAAAATCCTATTAGCAGCCAACGAGGGGATCGCAAGGGGGGCTGCACGCACGAGCACGGCAGCAACACACACACACACACACACACACACACACAATGCACGGCTCCAATTGGTCGATACTACAGTGAGCACCTGCAGAGCTCAATGAAGCCCAGAACTGCTAAAGAAGAGAGAGGAGGCTTACTGACGTATGGCTAGTATCCAACGTAGCACGCTTCCTTTAACACCTACTTCTCAAGGGCATCGTACTCTCAAATCTTTCAGCGGATTCCTCTTTTACTCCCTCTCTCTCTTCCTCCAAATGGTTTCATGTCCTCTCTGAATGGCCCTCGCTCTCTCCCTCCCTTCTTCCTCCTCTTCTCTCCTCTTCCAGATCACTTCTGGCACAGCCTCGTTCCCTTTCTCTGCACTCTTTCCTCCCTTCTCTCTGTCTCCTCTCTTCTCTTGGAAGCCCTCTCTCTTCCTCCACACAATATAGTCTGCCAATCTCTGTCTCTCCAATGCCTCCGCCCTCTCCCGCGCCACCACTTCCTCTCTCCTCTTCCAGATGATCTCTCGCTCCCCCTCACCCCCTCCCTCGTCTGCTCTCCCGTTCTCCAGGCTGTCCTGTTTAACAGTCCCCTTGTCTAATATATTAATGGTGATCCCTGTCTTTCTGCCTCTCTAACTTTGATATTAGGGATGGCTAGAGGCTAGGCATGGTCACCTATTTAGACACCAGTTGAAAAACAGAAAGAAAAAAAAGTTAAGACTGGGCCGGCAGAGTCGGGGCCCGTTCCTGACTGAAGTTCCTGATATGGCTAAAACAAGCGAGGCTGCCTTGGTTCAAGTGTGTTCTGGCCACCTCGGTTAGGATGTTTTTTTCTGGAGCACCATTAGATAGTGGTAGGTTAAGTCTGAGATGTTGTCTACGTCTGGTACAGTGACACACACTGCAGTAGCACGGTGGTGATGTAACACCAGAGAATGTAGGTCATTGGCTGATGACGACTACCGGTGGGCTTGTTGTGATGGTAATGAGACCTGATTTGTCCGGTTTGAACTCCCAGCCCAGGGTTCCCTGAATGGTGCTGGAGGCTCATCAGAGTTGAACGTGAACTCGCTCACCCAGCTGGAAATGCTCAATTAAAACTGCACTCTGTTGTTAAGCTGATCTCTCTGTGCGCCTCTCTTCTCACCCTGTTACTTTATTTTTGCCAGGTTCAAATAACAAAGCCCAGATTATAGTCAGTTACCTGAGAGAAGAGCGTTGACACAGCCCCATATGATATGAACAAGCCAAGGGTTACACTCTGGAACCACTTCCTTCCTTATCTAAGGCAGGGCTTGTCAAGCAGCAGGTTAGCTCTCAGTTCGATTACAAACTACTGTACAGACGCCACGCAGCATCTCACATTCTGCATAGTCCAACCTAGAAGGCAAACAACAGTCTGTTTACGGTAACAGTCTCTCGCAGAGTCCCACAAACAAAACAGTCGGCAGCAGTTTGACCTCAGGAGGAGGCAAGGCTACACCTACGGTCCTGCAGCAAGCTGGCTGGCCTACACCTCAGTGCTGTTCAGGCACTAGTCATATTTACAATCTCTTGACCTTTACTCCCTCGAAGGAGAGCAAGGTTTAAACACTCCTTGCTCAGACCACTTACACAATGCTGTAAATTTGGCACCGATGTCTCAGTGATTCCAAGTGGGAAGGTTGATTTTTCCACACACTAACATTTCAAGACTTAACTGAGTCTGAAATACAGCGGACCAGCTTGTAGTGGGCGCTGGACGCATGGCAAAGGAACAGTCGCCTACACCAGTCTAGCACCACAGGGGGATTGTCTAGCAATTCTAGCTAGTCATCCATCTGGTCTTGGCCAAAAAGCACCATGGAGGATCCAGTCACACTCTCACACTGCCAGACAGGCTGGGATGATCTCCAGAAAGCTGTAAAGAAGTATGGCTGGAAAAGTCACAAAAGACACGCGGTATTTGGACAATCAAGAGCATGCAGAACAAACACAACAGTCAGCCACACCCCTAGTAAAAACCAGAAATTAGCCTAAAGAGGGAATTAGCACTTTAAAAAAAGGCAAAAGATCCAACAGAAATGGACAATAGAGGGGGAAAATCCAGGTGTGTTCCCATACACTGAGACACTGGTCTAAAAGCAGAGTTAACCCTTGCCTTGCCCGAGGATGTTTTAGTGCACAGAACACAGTGTAGGTCAGGTCAGGTGACTGCAGAGGAAATGACCCTCTACATGAGGAGAAATCCTGAGTCACCTACACAGACGGAAAAAGGAACAGACTGTCACAAACACAGCACACCTAATGATCGGTGATTAGTGGCCCCGGGGCCAAGCAGCTGCACAGAGTGATATGTACAAGTGAAACCAGTCTGATAATCTAATTTATCCAGCCATTCCTGATAATGGCACATCAGCTTGACTGATGAAGATGGTAGTTGCCGTTGACAAAAGGTGAGATCAGGACAAGCCGAGCTGGGCTGAATCGCAGACTACTACACAGAATGGGGAGGGGGAGACAGGTGACCTGAAACAACCCTGATTCTCGGAGTCTCCCCGAGCTCCGCATAGACAAAGACTGTCTAGTAAAGAAAGAGAACAATCCCGTCTGAGGATGAAAGTCTTAAAAACTGCACACAACCTTGGACTTATCAATTCCACTGCCTCTTATCTACTAAATATATACAATTACCTAATGGAAAAGCACCAGTTTTAAAAGATAAGACAAGAAAAAGGAACTTTACATCTTGTTCAGTCTGCAGCTGCTGCCCGTTGCTATGGCAACAGACATTAAAAGAGATGCCTGCGGAGGATATATACTGAGAAGTCCCGACAACCGCAGAAATCTTCAGACAAAGAGATAACTGCTTTGTCAAATCACAAGACAGCAATTAGTTGCTGCATCAAAGGCTCCACTTTAGAGCTTTTTCTTTTTTTTTAGCCAACAGGAGGAAAAAACTAAAGCATCCTAGAAAGATCAATAGGTTTCAGGAAATGATCAAAGTTTGACCGGCATCACGCCAGCCATAAAACCCAATCAATGTTGACATCCCATGTCGGCTGCATGCACTGACTCCAACTAGGGCATGTGAAACTGTATGATATTATTTCTAAAGGACAACAATCACGTTCCTAATAACAGTATAAACAACAACAACTACACTGAGCATTCACTTCTAAAGGACAACATTGATGTTTAGAAAAGTTGCATAAAAACAACCTGAATATTCTGTGCAGCAGCTAACAAATGATTGTATAACATCCTGCAGGGTATGCTCTTAGAGAATAGAAAATCAGAAGTCACAAAGAGAGTCTATCTTTACAAAAAACAAACAAAAAAAAAGTCACTGAAATTGTTCTGTATAAAGTGAGTCTGATCAATTTCCCTAAGAGTTCTTTCTTTGTTTTCATGAATGGCAAAGCATTAATAGTTCCTCTCTTTTGTTTTTTGGTTTTAAAAAGCATACAGTTGATAATCCACTGTGAATCATCTAAAGCTGGGCTCCATATTCACATGAGAACCACATTAATGTTTAAACAGCCTCTGACTGTCCGGTCATCCGTCCTCTCCTTCCTCTTTCTGGCTCTCCGTCCGTCCACTCCCTGAAAAACGTGCTTCTCCTCTGATCCGCTCTTCCGCTCGATTAATTCACAAAGTCACTGCCGGCAGCTTCTCTCCATCTATCCTCTCCTCCGTTTGGCTGCCTCCTCTTCTCTTTACTTCTCCTCCTCCTCCTCTCTCTCTCTCTCTTTCTCTCTCAGCAGATGGTGAAATGGCAGTGCTGCCAGGATGGACAATGGCACTCCTTCATTGTGCGCCTCTTCTCCCCTCACGTCTGTCTCTCATTCCCACTTTCCTTTCACCTCTGTCTGTTAGAGGGACGGGCACGCTGTCTGTCCTCCCCTCCTCCCAGTCTGGGTGGGTGAAGCTGCCTCCCATTCTCTCTCTTACCGTCTCTTTCTCTCTATCTCACACACACACACGCACACACACACTCACTCATGGCTGCTGCCTCTGCCCTCCCCACCTCCCTTTCTCCCATCCTACCTCCTTCCTGTTTCCTCCCCTTCCCCCCACCTCTCTGCAGCCTCACTCATTTAGCAGTGTACATGTGTATGCACAGCAAGATGCTGCGCTCCTGCACATTAATGCACACACTCCAAAGGGAGATGGAGATGTGGGAGAAGGGAGGGGGGGAGGAGAAAGTGGGGGAGAAATGTATGTTTGTATGTGCATGTGTTTGGGGGGGGGAGGTTGTCCATGTTGGCTATTCAAGTCTCCTCCCTTATTCATGTTTGGTAACCTGAGAAACAGAGTGAAAGAGGGAGAGAAAGAGCGACAGGGAGGATGGAGAGGGTTCACCCTCTCTCTACAGACTGTGCAGAGTGTGACACGAGGTCACTCTGTATAACCTTGATGAAAGTGGACAAATTAAAATTAAAATAATATTAAAAAGATTTTCATTCACATGGTAAACATCCCCTACGTTACTATACGACTAGAGCTCTCTAGGGGGAAAGAGGACAAGTTATTACCAGACAAGCACAATAACAACCGAGTAGAGGCAAACGGAAAGCAGAGATCCCACAGATAGGTCCCGAAATTCAAGCGTATCTGATGAGAAGGCAGTGTTGCGGAAAGCAGAAGGAACCACCCAAAGAGTGACACGGGGACACGGCAGAGTGGATATAGCAAGGAGTCCTCAAATGACACCCCAATATACAGTTCCCTGCAGTACTACGTTTGACCACTACACTGGCAGACAACTGCAGAGAGCTGGGGTGTCATTTGAGGTAAAACCCATCACCCTACACCACACAGTGATGGGTATCATAGTGATTGTTGAGGACAACCACCCCTCCACCCTGTAGCCTGCACCATGCTTATAACTAGTGAAACACATGACACACTGTGGCTCAGGGATGACAAAAATATATATTTTTTTCTTTAAGAATTGTATTTTTGTTGGTGAACCATTTATGAGCTATCCTGAGTTTATGTTAAAAATGCTCACTCAGTTGACAGTTTATTAGCTACACCCAACTCAGACTAATGCAGTCTGCAACAATCCTGCAAACTGCAGCTGCTGAACAGACCATTAGGCTCAATCAACACTTCTTTAAAACAGTCCTAACAAACACTGAACACTACAACCTTAATGAAGGTAGGATTTAATGCAGGACTCTTGTATTGGACTGCATTCGTTTTAACTAGGTGTACTTAAAGGAGCAGTGTGTAAGATTTAGGGGCATTAAATGGCATCTTACAGTGAGGGCTGCAGATTGCAACCAGCTAAAACTTCTCCCGTCCGGGTAGAATTCTTTCAGTGTTCTTTGTTCAGGAGATTTTTATTGGGAGCCAAATTATCCGCAGAGGTCTCTCCCTCTCAAAAACAAACAGACCAGGTGATTTAAACCAGTAAAAATATGTACTAAAGCTGTTCCACGCTACAAATCAGTGTTTCTTCAACGCTGTTTGGCATGTCAGAGACATATCACAAGCCTAGCGCCTGCTATTGTGTGCTCACCTTTTTTCTCTGATAACTTAAGAACGAGATGTTCAGGAGGTTTTTACTAGGAGCCTAATTATCCGCAGAGGTCTCTATCTCTCAAAAACAAACAGACCAGGTGATTTAAACCAGTAAAAATACGTACTAAAGCTGTTTCACGCTACAAATCAGTGTTTCTTCAACGCTGTTTGGCATGTCAGAGACATACCACAAGCCTAGCACTTGCTAATCTATGCTCACCTTGTTTCTCTGATAACTTAAGAACGAGATGTTCAGGAGATTTTTACCGGGAGCCAAATAATCCGCAGAAGTCTCTATCACTCAAAAACAAACAGACCAGGTGATTTAAACCAGTAAAAGAGCGTAATAAAGCTGTTTCACACTAGAATTCAGTGTTTCTTCAGTGCTGTTTGGTATGTCGGAGACGTACGACTAGCCTAGCACCTGCTACTGTGTGCTCACCTTTTTTCTCTGATAACTTCAGTTCGAGACGTTCAGGAGATTTTTACCGGGAGCCGAATTATCCGCAGAGGTCTCTACCTCTCAAAAACAAACGGACCAGGTGATTTAAACCAGTAAAAACACTGCATAAAGCAGTTTCAGGTTGAAAAACATCAGTGTTTTCACAACACTGCTTGTTGTGGAGGGGCTGCTAGCCCAAAATCTAAGGGCCTTCTCTACAGCCAGTGTTTGGTTTGTCCACTCTGGGCCACTGTAGAAACATGGTGGACTCAGTGGACGAGGACCTGCTCCTATGTAGATATAAACAGCTCATTCTAAGGTAACAAAAACACAAATCTTTTTATTTTATTAACTGAACATACTTATTGTCTAATATTCCATTTATGCCAATATATACCCCAAAATCCTATACACTGGACCTTTAATAAACTGGCAACTGAGTGTTGTTAAGAATAACTCACTCAACCTGCAATAAATTTAAATAAGCAGGGCTGCACAATTACTCATGCATGATTACACTCTGTGACTAGTTTCCAGTTTCACACGATTGTAAATACTGGCATCCTCGCTATATTTAAATATTCATTTTAGACTGCTGCTGCAGGGGGAAAACTTTTCAATAAGATGCCAAATGTGTTGTAGAATCAGTTTGCTTTCTCAAATCATCTGCAGGGGATCATACTGTATACTTACACTTTATACTATAGCGTGCTTTGTTCAGAATCCGTTGAATAATGGTCCTGTTTTCTGCCGCTGCTGAGAAACTCATCTAAATGGGTCACACAAAGCTCCACTTTCTCATTTCAAAGTCTTAAACTTCGCTATGTAATAGAGCTGAATTATAATAAATTGAGAATAGAAATGTAGGGAACATCTCGAGGAGACTTTGTTCCATGATATATTAGAAATGAGTCAGACTATATTCTGTGAATTATGACACCCCTACTAAAAACTACAGTCACTATATCTAGAAAACTGATTTAGAGCATTTTTGGGTATAATCCTGCAGCCCTAAATTTATAATTCATTAACTATAAGACCAATATTTAACACGACTGAAGATAAATTGACCAAATGATTACTTCCAGGAGGGTTTACTTAGTTTTATCTTACCATTAAACCTCTAATAAATCTTGAAATACTATTATTACCACTGATTTACATATTTGACATTAGAGTTTTGACCTTTCAATTCGCCATTATGTTGTCGTGAGTAGAATCAGCCCCTTTGCCACTGTGTCACATTGTGTTTTTTATTAGCTGGTTGTATCATTTGAATGTCTTACCATATATTCCATCGGCCAACACAGGCTGCCTGTGAGTCTGTAACCCTAAAAACACCAAACTGCACATCAGCATACTGTACACACGCACGCACGCACGCACGCACGCACGCACGCACGCACGCACGCACACACACACACACACACACACACACACACACACACACACACACACACACACACACACACACGCACGCAGACACACACATAACTCAAGGAGCCAATCACAGCATGCTCCAATGCCGCCCTTGCAGCTACTTGACTCCCAGCATGCTTTGCTCCCAGGATCAGCTGTGGAGAGGGTCATGGGACCTCCTTGATATAAACGGCCCAATTGGTTAAGCACACAGAGACACAACATTGACTTGAGACGGGGCGAGATTGAGTGGGAGAGAAAAGTAAAAGACAGCGAGAGGATGAAAGAGCGCGAGTGAGAGGAGAGAGGCAATAATCCAGCGTGCATGTTGAAACACACTCTGTGGAATGAATGGAATTAACTGAAAGGACCGCATGTGTAGGATGTTTGTGTCTCGGCTTGTCGGCGAGTGTGCGTTTTGTTTCTATGCATGAAGAAGAGGCAACAACCGAGGAAGCTGCAGATAGTCAGTGTATATTAGATGAAACAGTCAGAGACGGACCGAGACAGAGCTCTGGATCTAATGCACACGCTGCAGGGCCATATCTGCTGTCTGCTCTTATACTGTCTGTGCGTGTGTGTGCGTGTGCATGTGCGTGTGTGTGTGTGTGTGTGTGTGTGTAATCTGATTTGACCCGCCTCACTCACCCCCTTGCATACACTAGGCCAAAAAAAATGAGCGTAGATGAGTAAACGGGCCTAGTCAGTGACCTTTTCCCTACTGGAGTACTGCCAGCCGGAGACGCTGTCTAACATCAGTTCACATTACGGAGACGAGAAAGACAATGATGAAGACGATGAGCGCAATGGGAGCAGCGGGAGGGGAGTGGTTTGTAACTGACAAGTGAGAGCCTCTCTGATTGGAAAAGACGTGCAAACACGCACGTGCGTACGGACAGCAAAATGGCAATCAAGTTTTCAAAAATTAGGGGTGAGGGTGAACATTAGATTAGACAGGCATTCAGCGGGAGGCCTTTCTGCTGGTTTCATAGCTCACCACGCACACAGCAAACATGTGAGACGACTATTTTGGGTCAGGCCAACCCCCCCCCTCCACCACCCCCCCTCTAACCACACTCCCACATCTCTATCTCCTTCCATCATTCCCTTCCTGCTGCCACTCTCTGCCTCCCTACACTTACAACTTCCCCCTTTGCTACAACGGTTTATTTGTCATTAACAGTGGTGTTTCTTCATTTGAGTTGCCAGTAACACTTTAACACTCTCTGACTACCAGCATTGAGTAATGAAACCGTCGAATGCTTCAGGTCTTGTTTAGATATTTTCCAATCATATTTCATGATTCAAGTCAGAATTTTGCCAGTTTTTTACTATTTTATTTCAGTAAAGTTTCCCTGTCTTTATGGCTCTTTGTGCTCAAACACTACAGCTGCTGTTTAAGTGGTTTGGCTTGTTTGGTGAAGAAAATAACAGGGTTACAGTTCATCTAAAGTGTTTGCAATCCTCAAAATAAGGCATCTAAAATAAGTATTGTTTTGTGTGGATATCAAAACTTGGGTGCATTGACAATCATTCATTTGGCAATCAATCCAAGGCACAGCAGATCAAGGAGAAGCCTTCAAGAATGAGCACCTCAACACAAAAACTGCAGCTCGATTAATTAATTGACAGAAAATGAACTAGCAATCTGTTTGCTGGTTTCTTGCTTCTTAAGTGTGAGAATGTGATGGTTTTCTGTATCATACATGATAATAAGTCTGTTTTTTCCACCATTTTAGTTCATTTTTAGTAACTCATACTTATCATACTCCTATTGTTACTCTATTACGCACTGGTTTTTGCTTATGTGCTTTGAAAACACTTCTATCTATATTTTTAGATATTCAATACTCTATTGTTTTAAAACTGGGCCAAGTGAGTGACCCTGACCACAGGAACCCACTGGTTGTCTTGTTGGTACTGGTTGTGAATAACTGTGGTTACTGTGCTTAGAGTAACTCTAATTTGAAGCATTCTCTGGCACAAGAATTTCCTTCAGGATAAATCAAGTTCTATTGAACTAAACTAAACTAAATAAACTGAATAGATTTGGATTTTTTAGACTGTTGATCAGATAAAACGAACCATTTGAAGATATTACACAGGGCTTGATTCACTGTTCTGAAATTTTTCTGCCAAAACAAATAATTGACAAATCAATTGATTATGAAGATAATCTTTAATTACTACCCTACTCAACACTCCACGTCCCACCTGATGTGCTGTATTGTACTAAAAAATGTCTTCTTTCACATTAACTATTAACCAGGCTTCCTTTTGCTGTGTTGAGGTGAACATTAACACAGCTCAAGGTTTGATCCTGCTAAAAGAAAACTACATGGAAGCTGTTTCATTAAAGTATATAACAGGAAAGCTGCACATTTTGGTACAAGACATAGGCTATTTAAGGTCAACACACCTCCCTAGTCTGCAAACACACTCACAATTGTTCAAAAGTAGATTCATTTGTTTTTCCATCACACATGCTGAATACCATTTAGATCATGTTTTCCGTCAGGACTCAACACTAACTTTTAAAGGCTTCAGCTCTTGGTTGCTGAAATTGAAAATATGGTTGCCATTTTTAGCCCGTTATTAAGATATTATGCAATTATACATGAGGCTAATAATAAAAATGTGATAGAAGAGATTGTTTAAAAGCTTTATCAGAGTAACTGAACATAATTCTTTGTAGTTTGTGTTTTAGCTGCTACTTTAAAGAATTCAAATCTTAAGTGCAACTTTATTTGCGTCGCCATTTTCTCAATAACAGATGCCTGTGTGCACGCATATAGACACAGTAATGCATGTGCAGTGTTGTCTGGTTCATGTTCTTACTGAAACAGCAATATTTAATAATCAATAATTCACAAATGTATATATTTTGGGGGGCATGTTTTGCTGTTTCATGTCCCTCGTTAGCGTTAAGTTAAAAAGTGGTTCGGGCTGCACAGTTGATCGAAATATTAAATGCCCTGGACTACAAATCATGTTCCAGGTAACATGCTTGTGTGGTACATACCCAGCAAAAATCACATTATCTTTTTTATATTCTTTTTCAGTAAAAATTAAATGCAAAAATTACTACCCACTTATGGGAATGGTCGCAGTATTTGTCAAAATAATTGCAATACGATTTTCTTGCATTCTTGTACCTTGGTTCCCACTGGTGGCAACCAAAGGCCGAGAATTGGTTGCAAATGGCAACCTGGCAACCTTTACTGTCAAGCCCTGTCTATTTCAGGTACATCTTGTAGTATCCCTGCTTTTATTTTAGCAAAACAAGTTTCAAAGTCTCTGTTTTCAGCTGTTTGACCGACAAAGTAGTTTAAATCGCTGCGTTTTATCATTTTAAGTCCAATATTATCTACAAAATTCAATTAAGGTGCTTTCTGCATCATAACAGTGTATTGTCACTACATATTTGCAAAGCAGTTAATTATTTTAGTGTCCCGAGTGTGATCATAATCTTACTGGTGATTTATTGTTCTCAGTATCAGCAAAGGGAACAATCTAGAACATCTAGACCCAAAGTGACCTTTTTTTGGCAGAGGAACAGCTTCAATCGCACACGCAACACATTACCCAAGGCTAGACGTGTGCGGGGAAGCCCAGATCTGCACAAAAGAGGTGACTTCTAAAGATGCAACCTTAGCTTTCTGCATAAAAAGAGATCGACCATGATAAAGACTTCAAGGCAGAACTGATTCATACTGATAGACTGTTTGTGTCTGAGCCGATACACCAATCAGAGCCAACCAGTCTTAATATATATACCACCAAGTGTTGCTATAGTGTAACTTAGGTTCTGTTTTTGTAAATTACACCCAGGCTACACTCACGTCTCATTTTTACCATCACACAGGACAGCATTTTAATCAAACTGCGGTTCACGCAGTGTACCAAGTGCTGAGCATGTTGCACTCCACCAAGCAGCACGGGAGGAAACACAGCTGAGGCTCAGTCCCATTGTGCAGAGGTAGAGACGGACAACCACATGCTACGACCTCAAAAAAAAAAAAAAAAACTCCCACAGTTTGTTTCCAGAGCACACACACCAGACACAAACACACAAACATACCCCCACACTGGTAGACAGACAGATATAGTGCACACATCACACAAAGACATAGACGAACACCCCCACGGACGGATACACACACTCTACGTCCTGTCAACAGCCTTGACAAGTTTAAAGGAGCTTAGTACCTCGCCAGTGTGTTTTTATCAAAGTATCACAAGACTAATTCAAGGCTAATATCAGCGCTAACATTCACTGCTTACAAAAAAACCAACTGTGTGTGTGCGTGTCTGTGGGTGAGTGTGCGGCTGTGTGCACAAGTGCAAACCTCTGTCAAAGGGAAGCTGCAACAATCACAAGCGTCACGCTGTGCCGTCAATCAGGACGAAAGCTTTCACCTTTGATTGATACGGTTTGAGCAGAATTGGACAGATCCAATTTTAATCAAGTGGACTTTGGATTGTGCCAATGGTGTGATAGAGTGGCCGAGATGCTCCGGCGCTTTGAGTGACAGATCGCGTCTCGGACTGTCCTTCCCGTTTGTGTTGTTTTTGTCCTTGTGTGTGTGTGTGTAGGTGCACACGCATCTCGTTTGGCAGGCTCCTGACATGTGTCTGAATCTAGCGTTTTTCGGATCAGCTGTTGATTGGACCCTCTCTTCCCCTCCGTTTCATCAGCGGAGATAACTTCCACCATATAATATCGTGTCAGGGCTGCTGGCCTGAGCGGTGTGGCTGACCCTGATAAGAGCACTGAGCCCACTGCTTTCAGTCGCCTCAATCATCCCCCCATGCCCTTGAGTCTGTTTCCACAATAGTCTGTCTCTCCTTCACTCGTTCGCGGTGAACTTTAACTCTGTCACAGTGACCCTGTTTCAACACATCTGAGGTGTGTTTTGCTGATCGGCCTCCATGGATACGCCCAACACAAAAGAAAAAGGGCAGTATAGCTGTAAGTTCGCTGTGCAATTGTGTATAGATATGAATGTGTGTACTGTTAGGCTCTCTTGCTTATCTCAATGACAAGTTATGATGAGGACTTGAGATTCAGCTCGACTCTACTAGGAGTCGAGCTGAATCGACTCGAATTGAATTGAATTGAATTGAATTTTAAATTGACTCAAGTTTTAAAAGGAACAGTTCTCCCTAATATCAATCATACATATTTTTCCTCTTACTCGTAGTGCTGTTTATCAGTCTAGATTGTTTTGGTGTGAGTTGCAGAGTGTTGGAGTTGTCAGCTGTAGAGATGTCTGCCTTCTCTCAAATATAACGAAACTAGATGACACTCGGCTTGTGGTGCTCAAAGTGCCAAAAAAAAACCAAAAAACAAAAAACCACATTTAAATAAACTCAACAGCAATGTCTCTTTTCAGATATCATGACCTGGTTACTTAAGATAATCCACAGACCTTGTTGTAAGCAGTTTAATGTTGGAACTATTTTCTTTCTACGGAACAGCATCCGCCAACTGCATCACCACGCAGAAGGAAACGTGCATCTACTCACAGACGAGAGGCTCGTGCTCATGACAGCGTGAGATCTAAACATTGTTGCTTCCAGGGCTGAGCAGGTGAGCTAGCAGTAGATGAATGCTTCCCTCTGTGTGGTGATACAGCTGGCAGGTGTAGTTAGGCAGAAAGAAAATAGTTCCTCCGTGAAACTGCTCACAACGAGGTCTGTGGATTATTTTGAGTAAACGGGTCATGGTTTCTGGAAAAAGACACTGCTGTTGAGTTTTTAGCTGCAACCACTTGGTCAGTCCAACAGAATTTCCCCACCCTTTGGTGGCCACAGCTTTTGCACTAAAGACCTCAATTTGGCTTGGAGGTCAAGTGTGTGTGTGTGTATGTGTGTGTGTGTCAGTGTGTGAGTGTGTGAGAAGGCCATTGCACACCAGGACTGTATTTTTCTTCTGAAATTGTCACACATCTAAAAATAAATATGACCTCACCTTGTGCCATTCATGTTTGCGCACTGCATCCAAATGCTACGTGCTTTTTTTCACATCCGTCAAAAGAGAATTAGTTGAGCAAAAAGCAGAGATGAAAATGTGCCGTAACCTGCGGGACACATACATGTGCAACAAGAGAGGAACAGGGTGCATGGTATCATTTCATAACGCAGGTAGCCTTTTGTCAACAGGTCTGATTGTAATATTCAGGTGGATGATGATGAAGAGGAGGAGGATCTATGCATACCGACAGAGAGAGCATCAGTGTGGAGACAGAGAGGGAAGACACGTCAGCCCCTTCAGGTAACCACACTGTCTTTTCATTTTGTCTTGTATTGCGAATTTTCATAACAAATATAACAATAAACAGATCAGACTCAGCGTGTGAGGTTTCAACGCTAATGATTTTGTTGGATGACGGGTTAAAAAAACATACGAAAAATGCTGACTTGGTGTGCAAAGGCTTGAAGGTGGGCAGTTATGACAAAAATAACCAACTTGCACAAGTTTTTGTGGACATATTGGTCATGAGCCACAGGGCAGCTGAATAACTGTTCACACCAACTGGCAGCAGTGCGCAAGGCCTATAACAAAATGATAGGCTACATAACATCAATTCATTAACGTTACCTAACTTTACAGAAAGACACACACATATGCACACACACCTTTTTGCCACATCCCCTTTATAACTCATTAACGGGTGGTTGTAGGGTGGTATCACTGTACTAGTGACAAGTGTTTGTGAAGTTGTGTGTGTGAGTGCATGAACATGTGGCTGCATGGCGTACATGGTCGCAGCTATTACAAATTTGCACTTGTTCAAATGTATTTTTTGGGTGGCTTTGAGCACAAAAACGCCAAGTGCCATCTAGTTTCATTATATTTGAGAGAAGGCAGACATCTACGGCTGATATCTCCAACAATTGGCAAATCACAGTGAAACAAAGTGCACTACAGGTAAGAGGAAGAATATGTATTGAGATTGATTGATTGGGGGGCGAACTGTCCCTTTAAGGCTTCAACTAATAATTATTTTCATTATCAATTAATCTGCCTTTTTTTTTCTCAATTTTGGCTACTTAAAATTATGTGTCCATTCCTCGATTACAATGTAAGTTATTTATATTGTTTTAGTCCATAAGGGTCCTCAGATCAAAATAATCAAAAGGTTGTTTTTATAAAAAATTAGTCCAAGTTGTGAGTATTGTTTTAACAGGATAAAGTGGTGTTGTGTTGGTATGCCGGATGACATAATTCTCAAGTACCCCTACTCACCCTCTGTATCTGATGTCTGTCAGAGCTAGATCAAACCAATGATTCATAATTGACATGTTATGTGAAGCCTGATCTTTAAATGAGTAATATTCATACTGATTTAGATAAACAATTTGATTCTATTTGGAATCTTCACTGAGCAACAGTTTTGTCTGAGAGGATTTAAAGGCCTGTCCCAAATATAGGCCTGTTGATTTCAGCAATTTAAGCAAATAAAAGCCTGGGCTACTAATTGAAGTTTTATGCTATCTATTTGTCTACTTCAAAGTCAAATTCGTATGTCAGTTTTAGGGAAGCACGATAATATCGGTACATCATCTGTTGATTTCAGTGGTGTAAGCAAATATTATGGGCGGCACGGTGGTGTGGTGGTTAGCACTTTCGCCACACAGCAAGAGGGTTCCTGGTTTGATACCATGTGTGGGAGCCCTTCTGTTTAGAGTTTGCATGTTCTCCCTGTGTTTTCTCTGGGTACTCCAGCTTCCTCCCACAGTCCAAAGACATGCAGGTTAATTGGTGACTCTAAATTGTCCGTAGGTGTGAATGTGAGTGTGAATGGTTGTCTGTCTCTATGCGTCAGCCCTGCGATAGTCTGGCGACCTGTCCAGGGTGTACCCTGCCTCTCACCCAATGTCAGCTGGGATAGGCTCCAGCGACCCCATGACCCTCAAGAGGATAAGCAGTTAGAAAATGGATGGATGGAAGCAAATACTAGCCCGGGCTATTAATTGAAGTTTTATGGTGTTCAAATGACTTGTTTTGTCTGATCAACAGTCCCATTTGCAAATATGCTCAGTTCAATAGCATATTAAACCAAGAAAATCTGAACATCTTTACACTGGAGAAGGTGGACCCAGCAAATATCTGGCATTTTTTCTAATGCAACTGTTAATTTATTATAAAATGTATACCTATTTTCTTTCCAATATCCTATCTGAGAATATGCCTGTGTATTATAGATAACTGGAGGCATTATAATGAGCTATTCTCTATTAATGTCCTGAACACATCATGAGCTTGAGGCCACTCAGTTGACTCCTCATCACTGCCTATTTTAAATTAACTACAATACTTCACCACTGACTGTATTCCTATAGTGTTGCTCGGCTCCTGGAGACCTGAAGCTGCGGTACCAAGATCTGAAAACTCGTCTGACAGCGCGAGGACGAACACAAGTTAAACATTTGTGCTAATGTGTGCACAGTCTGCTCCTGAGCAACTCTCTGTACAATAACCCGACAGGCTTCACTGTGTCGTCTTCACCTAACACAAGGCAGAACAATGCTCCCCTGCGGGCACCACACACACACACACACCAGGCGAAGTCAACAGTTTCCTAAAAACTTCTGTATAATAACCGCTACACTGACGCACAGCAAGTAGCAGAGTACACACCATGCCCCAAAAAAAGTGTGGTCAACTTTAACGAGAACTTACCAGCTCTCTTCCTCCCGTTCCCTCGAGTTGCCCCTCCTGCCCACCGAGCTGCTGCTGCTGCACACACTTTGGCTTAATTTCATCTAACAGGCCAAAGGTTTGGTGGTGTTTTTAATCCGCTGGACGCCTCAGAGTTTTCACAAACTTCATGAGAGTTTAGTCTAAACTTCTTCTTTCCTCTCCCTTTCCTTCCCTTTCTCCTCCCCCTGCCTGCCTCCCCCCTCCACGGTCACGACAGAAGCCACTTCCGCGAACAAATGGCAACGTCATCTGGCCGCGGATCCTGTGTGTGTGTGTGTGTGTGTGTGTGTGTGTGTGTGTGTGTGTGTGTGTTTGGCCCCTGTTTTGCACCTGGCCCATTCAGCGCACATTGCGCAAATGTAGAAAGCCCAGGGCGCGAGCCAAAAGCATGAACAAGTACCTTACCTAAAATAAATACCACATGTTAGCGAGTAAAGTTTCGTTTTCTTTGGTTACCATATGACTACAATTGCCAGAAAAATCACTGTAGTATCTTCATCTTAATATCAACCATAGTTTTTCTAAACATATCTCCTTTAGCAGCGATTCCTTTGTGTTACTGGCTGTATACATTGATTTATGATGATTTTATTACCACAGAAAATTGCCTTGTGGCTAATTCTGGCATATTTATACCATGTGTATTTATTCATTCGCACTGTCCCTCCTTAAATAAACTAAAAAAAAGCAAACAAACAAACAAAAGTAGTGTCTTTATCTTAATATTAACCATATTTTTTATGTCCCCTTTTTAAATAGGCTGTACATATTGATTTATTATGATTTTATTACGACAGAATATTACATTGTGAAATACAAGGCAGTATATACAATCAGTTGCCAGTTTATTGGGTACACTTAGCTGAAACTAATGCAGTCTGTAACCATATTTACTGCACACATTATATTTTTGGGTTATTTTTATTACTTAATTGACTGTCTTATTTATAAATGGGCACATTATAGTATCATTATTATTATTATATTATAGGCAGCATGATGGTGCAGCGGTTAACGCTGTCACCTCCCAGCAAGAGGGTTCCTGGTTCAATCCCAGGAGGGAGCCCTTCTGTGCTGAGTTTGCATGTTCTCCCCGTGTCAGCGTGGGTTTTCTCTGTGTACTCCAGCTTCCTCCCACAGTCCAAAGACATGCAGGTTGTGGGACAGGTTAATTGGTGACTCTAAATTGACCATAGGTGTGAATGTGAGTGTCAATGGTTGTGTGCAGGGTGTACCCCACCTCTCACCCAATGTCAGCTGGGATAGGCTCGAGCCCCCCCGCGACCCTCAAGAGGATAAGCAGTTATGAAAATGGATGGATGGATGGACATTATTCAGATTCAGATTCAGAATACTTTATTAATCCCCGGGGGGAAATTGTTTTGTTCCAATGCTCCGTGCAAAGTAGAAATAGAAATACAGCATGAATGGAAACAAGAGATAAAGATGAAGATATAAATAAGATACTAAAATAGACAATGAAATAAATAAAATAAAATATTAAAGTAGACATTAAAATAAAATAAAATAAAATAAAATATTAAAGTAGACAATAAAATAAAATAAATAATAAAATAGTAAAGTAGACAATCTGAAATATATACAATATACAATGAAATGGTTGTAATATTGTATTTAAGTACTAATAGAATCAGCCTTATTGGGTTACTGGTAAAATATTATTTCTTTGTCACTGTCTCCATCTGAACCCAGCCAAATACAAGGAGATGGTGGTGGATTTCAGGAGGAAGAGGTCACCCCATCAACCAGTCTCACACACTGGGAGGATGTTGAGATGGTGCACACCTAAATATCTAAGGGGTCTTCTTAGATGGGAAGCTGGACTGGTCCTCTAACACTGACACCTTCTACAGGAGGAGGCAGAGCCGCCTGTTCTTCCTGCGGACACTGAGGTCTTTAGATGCATGTGTGTGGAGATGTTGACCGAGTTGACCACCTGACAGACAAAAACACCAAGTGTTTGGACAAGCTGGTTAAAAAAGCTGACTCAGTGCTCAGCAGGAGACACTAAGAGCTGTGGTGGAGAGGGGCACACTGAACAAAGCCTGGAGCGACAGAGGAGCAGCTGCAGCAGTCGGCTCATCTCACTGCATTGCAGAACGGAGCGTTTCAGGAGGTCCTTCGTCCCCACGGCAGTAAGACTGTTTAATACCTCTTGAATCCAGTCACACACACTCACACACATCACCTCAGCCACAACTGGACTGGACTGTGGAATGGGCAATTTTATTTTGATTTAATTTCTACTTATGCACTTATTTTATTGTATGTCTATTTTAATACTACTGCGTTGTTGTTGATGAGGGGAAGTGTGGTTGTTTTTGGACAGCTGAATTTCCCTTCTGAGATAAATAAAGTTCTATCTAATCTATTTTATTTATAGTACTTTGTATATTATTTCATTTGTATGTGTGCATGTTTTTAAGTAGAGTAATTGCATTCTTGCATGCCCTTGTTTTGTGGGAACAGGTATGAGTGATACCCACAAGACAGTGAGTGCTTCATGAGGAGAAGTTGCTGTACCCCTAAGTTGGAATGTGTAAGCACTGTCTTGCCGTCAAAGAGGAAGTTGTTGTAGTACGCTTATTACCCACAGGCTGGAAGAACTGGGGAACGCCAACAATCAAGGGAAGAGGGTTACAAGTCTAATAAAACAGTTGTGCAATGACTTCAACTTTCATTCACGTTAAATTGTTCAGATTTAGTTGGAAGTGTTCAAGAGAGGGCTTGATTTCACTGTATGATCATTTTGGAGGATGTGGTTTGTGGTGCTGTTGAACTATGTTGCATTTAACAGAACAGGATCTCTGCCAATAGGCCTGCCCTCACTGGTATAAATGGGGGGCACAAAATGAATAATAGTATGATTTTATAAAGATAAAAAACAACAACTGGCCAGCTCACACAGTGTAAAAGTCCACGGTACAGGCATGCAGTCCGAAAAATGCACGCGAAGCACTCTGACTGGAGTTAAAAATGCTTTGTTAATACATGTAAACCAACGCGTCATCAGGATGATGAAGATTCTGTAGTCAAAACACATCATCATGGATTTTTACACTGAGTGAGCTGGTCAGTTGGTGTTTTTTTTTATCTTGAAGTGACTCTTCGACCTGTCCCTGAGGAGCACCTCATTTTTCTTTTACAACTAACTACACAGAGCCATAACCCAGTAAAGCACTCCCTATTTTTTCCTCAATAGTATGACTTTTTTGTCCATCTATGTTTCAAACCATAGCTTGGTTGTAACAGTCACTAATTCCCGCAGTCTCTCCATCGCCATCAGCACAGTTTTGATGGATACTGATGACTGATTTTCAGAGAGGCTCAGTACATTTTAAAGTGATTGTGTGCAGGCCATACGGTTAACAACAAAACAGCTACACATGTCTTTGAGCAAGGCAGACTTGACCCCAGAAACTCCTGTGGCTCTGTCTACTGCTCACATGCACCCAGAGTGGATCTTTACATATGCATCACAGGCCTTTTCTCACAGACAACATTCAAACATGTAACAGCAGGAAAAGCAGGTGAAAATAATGAAATAAATGATGGTTCAATTCAGTTTAGCTGTTCAGGTTTCAGGGTCCTGGTATTGTACATGTGGGCTCACTGTTGAACTGCGACAGCTAGTGCCATTGTTAACAAATAATAGCATATTATTCTACACTTAAATGATCTAACAGGTAAAAAATATGACTGCTTGAATGAACTGTCTGACACCATGTGGGCATGAATGCACTAGGAGTTTCTGTCAGAGTCAGTGACACAGCCCCAAAATCCCAACTCCTCAACAACTCACAATCTGCCAGTTCAGAGATTTCAGCGTTGCAATTGGAATAACAAAAATGAAACACTCACGGAAAGTAATAATGATAGCCTACATAGTCAAAATACTAACTTAGGAAACATGTAATTAACATATCTCAAAAGTTGCACTTACATCAGGATTTTGCCTTAATTCGGACCTATTATCTTATCATTTTTACTTAATTTAATCATGTTTCATCATATTATTTTAACTTTACTGAATTCTCTTTCCCTGGCAGGCTCCCATATACCATAATATGCAGACCCATCTGCAATAATTAAAGTAAAGTAATAATAATAATAATAGTAATAAGGTTAAACACAATAGCAATACTATATGAGCCTTTATTTAAATGCTCTGACAGCCAAATACATGACTGGTCTGTTTGGTACTATCTGGATGAGTCAAAAATAATGAAATACGTAGCCATAATAATAACTTTTAAAGTCAAAATTATGAAATATGTGTTATTGACATATCTCACAGTGTTCATTTATATCAGAACTTTGTCTTAATTTTGATTTATTATGTCACTGTTTTGACTTATCATCAATATGTTTCATTACATTCCATTATCTTTCCTTACTTCTTTACAACTGACTAAAAAAAGGTAATGGTAATGATAACGAGGTTAAACACCATGGAAATATCATATTATTCTACACTTAAATGATCTAACAGGCAAAAAAAATATGATTGCTTGAATGAACTGTCTGACACCATCTGGGCATGAATGCACAAGGAGTTTCTTGGCATAATCAATACCACCATCAGAACTTGAATGGAGTCCCTTTTTATATTCTAAGCATTTAATGTATCTTAAACCACCGCTGTATTCTCAAGCCAATAAAGTCCTGTGGAAAAATAAGTAACCCACCTTCCACTCTGTTTCAATATGCAGAGCAGCGGCGCCAGCACCTCGGTTGCAGACATGTCATCATGCGCCACCTATAGACAAGAAACATGACAGCAGCGTGTAGTTTGGATGGTGGTACTTTGGAGTCCATCATCAGTTATTGGCTCCTCTAGCCGCATTAAAGTCGTCATGCAGACATGAGAGGCTATTATGCATGAAATGTATCATGTGCTGCACAGGCTACATTATAGGAGAATGCATGTCTCCTTCCTTTAGGTTCCTGCTCATGTAGCCTATGGGTGGAAGGAAATGAGAGAGTAGACATATTGGCTGAACATTAAAACGACAGTTAATTGACATGCAAGTGCCATTAAGTAAAGCAGAGATTAAAACTGTCATAAAAGACTGTATGCAGGGATACAGTCCAGCGTACAGGACTTCGCAGGGATATTTGGGGCTTAAGTGACACAGGAAGACATCTTTACAGTGTGCAAAACATGCAGGTGTTGGAGGAATACAGAGTGGAAACCCAAAGGAAGAGATGGTGTCTGAGGATAGGACATACAGGAGTAAACGAAACTCTTCATAGGATAGGGAACCACCCTACTAGACTGTGTGTAAAAAAAGATGGAAACTGCCAAACATGTACTAACGGATTGCAACAGATATAGTGAAGACAGAATGTAGTTAAAAACAAGACTAATTGGAGAAAAGCACAGTATCACATTGGGGAATATAACTGGAAATACATCAAGGAAAGTGCATACGCTTCTATTTAATAACTTAAGAGTAACAGGAATAATTTAGAGAATTTAGTTTTTTATTATGTTGTTTCCTGCCAACTGTTGCGCCACACTCCAGTAGGTGGCGGTAGTGCGCCTAAAGGCTGGTTTGCCAGCCGCCATTAAAACTCAAAGAAGAAGAAGAAGGAGCGGCAGCTGATGATGCTATCCGAGTGGAGGTGGTGCACAGTGTTAGCTCGTAGGTAGACGAGTTGTCGGTACCGGTCGTTAAAGTAATACTTATCATATATCGTATTTACTTTAGCTAAACGACATACACTGCTCCACTTACTGATTCCAGCATAACGGGACCGTCTTGCCGTTACTTCAGTGTACATAAAAAGGCAAACCGTTAAGTCCCGCCTCCTTAAACCTGATTGGTTCTCGGACCTATCTGGAAGCCTTTTCTGAGTTCTGATTGGACAGTGACCGCCATGTGTTGTGAGTGACATGTAGCGACAAACAGTGGGATACGTAACGAGGTCAAAGCGGCTCAGGAGTAAGTTTCCTCGGGTTTTAATGAGTTTGGATACCAATGTATGAAATAAGATATTATGTTTTTTTTCGTGGTATGTGGTCGTGGAGAGAAGTAGGCAGTAGAAACAGGGCGTAAGGTTGTATTGAAGCGTGCTTGAATGCTAGTGCTTGGTTGTTGCTAGTGTCTCCAACAATGGGTTAACGTTAAGTAACCTAGCAAGGAGACTTTGCACATTTACAGTTAAGTTAGCTAAGAGTTGTCATAGTAGTACCCGGCGCTTTGACTTATATTGAGCTATAATCTATGGTGTATTTTATAAATGTGAATGAAGTTCATTTCGCTGTCTTCTCACGTTAGATAACTTGGCAGTGTTAGGCAATAGAAAGTACAGTCAGGTGTATCTCCTGTCAGTCCTAGCCAAACAACATGAAGGCTAAATGTTAACACACATGTAGATAGTTGTAGATTGAACCTACCGCACCGACACTGTCTGTACCCTAATGTTGCCTCATTTGACCGGTGAAATCAGCTCGCTGCTGTCTATTAACCCTTTGGTCCTTGATCAACGTCCTCTCTCTCAGTACCTTACAGTGTGTATCTTGACAAGTCTTCCTCAATGCATTATTGTACATGTCCATGCCTCATTAATTGTCAGTTCTTCACATCTGCTTCAGACAAATTTAGAAGACAGACCAAACTTGCAGTGTCACCATTTTATAGCTTGGCTTCAGTAGGAAGGTGTAGCAGTGTCATTGATGCAGATGTGCTCACTGTGGTCAAGCAGTGTACTATTTAAAGCAGAGTTAAAGGTCCAGTGTGTAGGATTAAGGGGGCAGAAATGCAATATAATATTCCTAACTATGTTTCCATTGGTGTATTATCACCTTAAACTAAGAATCGTTGTGTTTTAATACCTTAGAATGATTATATTTATATCTACATACAGAGCAGGCCCTCTTCTATGAGGTCCACCATGTTGTGTGTACAACAGCCAAGAGCAGACAAACCAAACACTGGCTTTACATAGGGCCATTTGCATTTTTGCATCGGCCACCATAGTTCGTCCACATGCAACCCGTCCCTTACCACTCGATGCCACTATATCCTCCTCACTGGACCTTTTCACAGACTCATTAAATAGAATGAGATTTTGTTCCCCCCATCAACAAAATATTTGTAATAACTGAAGTGCAGTATCTTAGATACAACTCATAGATCTCAAGAAACAACCGATAAGTAGTCATTGTGAGTCGATGCATGTACACATTGCTCACAGTTCTTGCCTCTTTTCTCCTCCTTTTTTCCCCTTGCCTGATCTGCTCCTTTATGTGTCTCTTTCCAGACACTCCCTGGTAGGAGACAAGTTATGAAGGAGAAGAAGGCCTGAACTGAAATGAAACAATTTGGGACACTCCATATGGGTTCTTCATGTTGAGGTAAGACT